TTTAAAATATTAAATTTAATTAAAATTGTGCTATTTTTGTGATAAAGCATCACCAGTGATTAAAATATTAACTTTAATTAATATTGCAAGAAGAACTTGTTAATATTAATATTAGGTGAGTTCTTGACACAATCACTGAAACTTTTTTTTTGACGTTGGATAACGGCGTCACCTCCATTTTTTTTAATTTCACCTGAAAATTTCTATCGGCTATTTCTTCGATTTCTGAATAATTATCGATGCTTCTCATAACATCTATATAAATTTATACAACCGATTAAGGAAGTCGATATCCTTTTTACGTTTTTGTAGCACAGGATAATCGTTGACTTGTCATTATTTAAAGTTTATTTATTATAAACATATCCATTTCACTTCCAGAAAGAAAAGAAGATTTGCTATTGAAAAGTCATTATCGTCATTCCATTGAATATTTCCTTGAATAGTTTTTAGTTCTGTTTCTCGTGCACTTTCCGAACCTTCATCTACCACTTCATCGTCTTGTTCAGTCTCTGATGCTAAAGTTTTCTTCAATTGAGCAGTCAAATCACCCAGAAATTGATCACTTTTAATACGGGGATGAGTGTGGATGACCATGGGGATGAGTGTGGATGGTTGGGGATGACTTATGTGTGTAGGCCATCAATAACAAGACGAGAACTGCAAATGGAACCTTTCAACGTTTACACTCTTGCTTCAATATTTATTTATAGATGTGTTTATAGATGGATGCAAAACAACCAATGTGACATCATGAACAGTTGATGTCTCGTGTAATGGAAGTAAATAACTCATTTTCAATCCATAACTTTTCAGTTTCTTCCCTTCAACTGTTCCAATATCAAACTTTGTTGTGAATTCTTTTGCACTGACAAGTTTCATCTTGTGAAATAGGAAACAATCGATTTGAAATTCTTAATCGGTGTCACTATTTGAAGTTTATTAGAATAAGTTTCGTAGCGTGATCTCCCCATATCTCGTGATAAGTTTCTTCCACTTGCTGAACTTCATAATTTCCTTCGAATGAATTCCAAAATATTGTGTGCAATCCAAAATGTCCAGTCGTACTGTAAAACTTGTCAAAGCTGTTAATGTCAAGCTTCTTGTCTTCAGAAATTTCATCGCTTTTCATGTCGTCGAAAAAAAAAACGTTATTCAAATCAGTTTCAATTCCCCCAATCTTTCTTATCGTTTATTGATCCGTAATATCTCATATCAAGCGAATATGCTCCAAAGCCACTTAAGACTAGTGAAAAACCAGTTGAAGTGGGAACTGTGTATGAAGCATCAATTGATGAATGAAATTAAGATTGATTGAACATGAAAAGAAAAGAGACCTAAACTTTTATTCTCTTGTTTCAAGATGTCTTCAAGTTTTGCCTTCTTCGAAGTTGTTTCAGTTTCTATTGCCGTTATCCAACTCGATATTTAATTGACAAATTGAAATAACTTTATCGATTTATGAATTGAATTGCTAAACTTCAAGATAAAATTCATGGAATCGATAAAGTTATTTCAATTAATCTGAAATATGACTGTTTGGATAACATATTATACATACTTTCCATCAGCATAAATATGCCCAACGCAAAAAGAATGAAATATCTAAAAACCAATTTCCCCGAGAAATATGCTTTAGCATTGGAAAAGGACAAATTGCGCAAACAAAAAGAAAGAAAAATTCTAAAAGCAAATCCAAAGAAATATGCTTTAAATCGGGAAAGGGCCAACTTGTGCCGAAGAAATAGAATTAAAAATATGACAGCAAATAGTCCCAAGAAATATGCTGAACATTTGAAAAAGAAGATTTTGAGGCAAACGAAGTCAGTTGAGAAAAAAAAAAGCCATCCTAAATACCAACCCCGAATTACTTGAACAGTATAAGAAGAGTCAAAGTGAAAAAAGAAAAAAATATGATAGGAAACGCAGAGAGTTGTTAACAGCCGACCCCAAGAAACATGCTGAAGTTAAAAAGTTCAACCGCGAAAGAGCTAGATGGTATCAGGAATGCTTAAAGAAAAAAAACGTATCAATAAGACCGTTCAAACCTAAAGAACAAATAGAAGAAGCAGAATTCGAAAAGTATTGGAATACTTTCCCTGAAGATGACGAAAAGAAAAAAGTAATCGTTGCCGAATTTGCTAAAAAACTTGGTCTTCTTGTTGGTCCTTTAAGTAAACCAAAATCAAGAAAGACTTTAGAAAAAGAAAAATTGGTAAGGGACTACTACATTAACGATAACATCAGTCAAATTTCAAATAATAAGGTGTGGAAAAATGGAACACCCATTCGCTATATGCTGCATAGTATGCACGAAGCATATGATAAATTTAATGTAGATTTCCCGCACCAAAAAATCGGCTTAAAAAAATTTGCAAAATTGAGACCAGATTTTATTAAATTAAAAAGCCAAATTCCACACCGCACATGTCTTTGCAGTATCCATGAAAATATGGGATTTGCACTGAAAGCATTAGCTAGTGTCTATCCTACATCCAAAGATGTAGCTATTGGATATAACATGCACAGCAATTTCATTTGCGATGGTGACAAAAAAGTATGCTTTTCCAACAAATGTCACTTATGTGAGCATTCACCAGCGTTCTTCGAAAAGTTCGAACAAAACGAAGTCAATGCCTCAAAATCGGTGACATGGGAGCAATGGGTGACTGGTAAAACAGCTTTTGAAAGCGTAAAAAGAGTTAAGAAGACCGGCACTGTACCTGACCTGCTCAAGCATATTGAAGAAATGAAGGTCAAATTCTTACTTCATGTGCTTGTTAAGCGAAACCAGGCAGCGTGCCTCGAGTCATATCGTAACCAAGCAAAATCTGAGAACGCAACAACAGCCGTTCTTCAAGTTGATTGGTCTCAAAGCTACCAGTGCTTGCAACAAGATGAAATTCATGCTGCCTATTGGAACAAAAAACATCGAGTTTCAATTTTCACTGCCATGATGTGGCATCGTGGAGAGAAATCAATGGCTGTCGCTCTTGATTCTCAAGACCACACAAAGAAGACGGTTATTCCTTGCCTCCACAAATTGTTCAGTGAAGAAATCCCTGCTACAGCCACAACCGTACATATCTTTTCGGATAATGCTGGAGGCCAATTCAAGAACAAATACACCATGGCTGTACTTCCAGCATTAGAGAAAAAATATAATAAGAAGATTGTATGGCATTATCTTGCTGCACAGCATGGCAAAAGCGCTGCCGATGGAATTGGTGGAGGCCTTAAGACTGCTGCTAGAAATACATCCAAGGCAGGTGCAACTATTTCAGACGCTAAAACTTTTGTTAAAAATCAATCTTCACTTTCAAAAGTCACCCTGAAGCTGATAACCGAAGAAGAGATCAAAAAAATAAATTCAGAAATTGGATTGGAGGATATTTGCAGCAACCATCCATTGCAAATTAAAAACATGCGAAAATATCACTGCTTCAAAGTCGGCTTAAAAGGAGTCAAATATAAAAAATTGTCTTCTTTTGATGAAGATGAAGAAGAAGATCATATTTCGACGGATGAAGATGATGAAGATGAAGATGATGAACATGAAGATGAAGAAGAAGATCATATTTCGACGGATGAAGATGATGATGATGATGAAGATGATGAAGATGATGATGAAGATGATGAAGATGATGAAGATGATGAAGATGAAGATGAAGATGATGAAGGCGATACTTCAATGGATGATGAAGAAGAAGAAAAGGACACCTCCTTCAACATGAGCCAAATTATGGATGAAATGTCGGTGGTTGAAGCATTGGATGACAGTCAAGCTTCTCTCAAGAGAAAAACAAGATCTTCGATGTCTGCTTCCACTAAGCTTCCACGATATGACGATGAGGCGTGTGGAAGCAAGGTGTTAACAGAATTCGAGAAACAGCTTGAAAAAGAGCGCAAGTTTCTTAAACACATGGAGGAATCTGACCTATCGGAAGATGATGTTTTTTATTTAAAATTTATATCACAACTTCATTTTCATTTTTTATATCATTAAAGATATTTCAAGATAATTCAAATATTTATTTTTGTTCCTTAGTTTAAGATAACCTTCTTAAATCTTTAATCTTCCAGTTATTAAGTGAATTTAAACACTTTCTTCTATTTGTTTACAATTTTTTAAGAATGAAGTACTTGAAAAGAAATGGATAAAACAAATTTAAAGATCAAGGACGTTTNATAATCTCTTTACAATATTAATTAATTATTGTCTATCAAAGAATTAACATCTAATAAAAACAATATTAATTCACAACAGGTTATGGGCCTGCGTTGAAAGTGTGACAGAATTATTCAAATAACATTTCAATTTCACTCAAATAAAAATTAAAAGTAATTAAACTTACTTCGATTAAAAACCTTTCAAATTTATCAAAATTGAATTGAGACAAAATAAGCTTTGAAAAGAATTTTCTTTTTCAAAGAACTTTGAGTCTTTTAAACGTTTTCCATATCTGATACGAATTAAATTTCTCAGACTTTATTGGAATTTAAAATTTGGAAATTTTATAAGAAATAAATTTCTTAGATTTCAACAAATTCAAAAATTTTAGAATTTGGAAATTTTATAAGAATTTATTTTCTTAGATTTCAACAAATTCGTTTAAATCTGATAAGAATTCATTTTCTCAGAAATCTTTGAATCGTACAATGGTGTTAACAAGAAGTCGTCAAAATTCTACACACGAAGAAACCACTGAAACCATTGAAATGTCTAATCCAACACCAATATCTAATGCAACATCAATGTCTAATGAGAATAAAGGAAGTGACATTGAAAAATTAACTGGTGAAGAAAATTATTATCCATGGTCAATCCAGATCAAAGCCTGGTTGATGGACTTAGGTTTATGGGTGGATTTTAATAAAACTGTTCTTTCAACAACAGAAAGAGAGTTATCGAAGAAGGCATATAGAAAAATCGTTCAAAAAATTTCTCATCCCATTCTTGCAAATGTTTCTCCACTTATCGATGAAGATGACGGAGTACAACTTTTTCAAAAACTGCAAGAAAAATATTTCAAAGGAAACGCCTTTACAAAAATGAACTTAATTTTTGAAGCTTTTGAATTAAAGTTACATCAAAATCCTAGTCTAAATGAATTGAAAACTCACATCGACGTTTTGAGATCAAAATTCCATCGTTTATCAATGATGAAAGGAGAAATTCAAGAATTTTCAAAAGTTGCATGTTTAATACGATCAATTCCACGCACTTTTAGTGAAAGCATTTCATCTTTTCACAATGCCAAAGACGAAGATTTAACTTTTGAAAGAGTCTCAAAAACAATTATAGCAGACTATGAAAGAAAAAACATTGATGGAACTTTTAATTTTGAAAATTCCTCTAAAGCTGCTTCATTTTCACAAAACAAAAATCGAAAATGGAAATATGACAATCTTCATTGTTCTTACTGTAATAAGAATGGGCATACAGCTGAATATTGTTGGAAAAAAAAGAAAAATTTAACAAATAAATCTTCAAATAAAAATTTTTCAAATGTTGCTGAAGTTGAAGACGAACATGCAGGAACGTTCGAAAATAATTTTTCAACTAAAGAAATAAAAGAAAAAAGAAAATCTTCAATATTTGAACGACTTGAATCTCGGGAGAGCCGTATTTCAACTCCGAAAAAGATTAAAACTCAGGGCAAGTCAATCCGTAATATTCAAAATGATATTCCAAATCAAGAAAGTTATAATATTCCTATTACTCCAGGAAAGAATATTAATTTTGATGAAATATCTTTTCATGTTGAACCTCATGAATATGAATTCATGAATAAAGAATTTAAAAATTAAAAGAAACTACACAAATAAAATTAAAGAGTTCCCGTTTATTTAATTTTTTTTTGTTGATATGAATTAACTTTCTCAAAGAACTTTAAACTTTTCAATCTGATACGAATTCACTTTCTCAGATATTAACTCAAGGGGACGAATATTAATTGCATATGCAAACTCGGTCAAACATTCAAATGATGATGAACTGACAACGGGTGCTCAAAGAATCAAATCCTTTTTCTAAATCTGATACGAATTAATTTTCTCAGATTTTAATCAGTTTCCATATCTGATAGGAATTAATTTTCTCAGATTTTATTGGAATTTAAACTTTTCAAAATTTGATATGAAATTATTTTCTCAGATTTTAATCACTTTCCATATCTGATAGGAATTAATTTTCTCAGATTTTATTGGAATTTAAACTTTTCAAAATCTGATAGGAATTAACTTTCTCAGATTTAATTCAAAAGAATGATGATGATGATGAGGTTCAAAAATCTAACAAAAATGAAAACTTCATATTCAGCAAAATGGTATTATCTCACAGAAATATGGTCAAGATTATGATCAAGTCTATGAAACAAAATTAAATATTTTTAAATATAATAATATATTCGAGGGGACGTGTTGGATATATAATATCCTAGATACGAATATATTATTATATCACTAATACTAAATAAGATTATTCTCTATAAAAGGAGAATAATCTCTTTACAATATTAATTAATTATTGTCTATCAAAGAATTAACATCTAATAAAAACAATATTAATTCACAACAAAGACTGCTGCTAGAAATACATCCAAGGCAGGTGCAACTATTTCAGACGCTAAAACTTTTGTTAAAAACCAATCTCCACTTTCAAAAGTCGCCCTGAAGCTGATCGTCGACGACTCCGAGATCGACAAAATAAATGCAGAAATTGGATTGGAATTATTATTACACTGTGAATTACTGTCCGTTAACTCACAAGCTTATGACGAAAATATTGTTATTAAATTTTAGATGAAAATCCGTACAACTATATTTCTAGAATCCTGATGATGATCCAATATTGGGATCGAAACTAGTCGAGAAATTAATATAGTCAACAGTCTGAAAAAAGCCTAAAAAAACTGCCCTATTCTATTGTACATAAAATGGTTTTAGCCAATGTTCTTTGGACTGACACAGAAATTTTAAAGCACACAAAGTTGTTCTAGCAATGCAAAGTTCAGTCATGTTGCAGATACTGTGGAGCGATGATAAAGCCCCAGGCATTGGCTAAGCATATTGAGAATCGCCATCTTCCTCCATCATTAATGGATGATGGAATAATTCAAGTCTCTGATCCAATGTTCGTTTCTCTAGCCGATAACAAAGCCAATGGAAGCTCTCAAATTATTCCACCAATTGAACCAAGAAAAACTCATAACGCTTATTCCAAATCTAAAGGAATAGCAACGAAAGAAGCGATTTCACCACCGATTAACAATACTAAATTACCTGACCATGCATTTGAAAAGCCTAATGGAATCCCTTCTAATAATATCATTTCCATCTCCACTTATAATTCCCCAATACGGAATGCTAGTGAAGAGAACCAAAACATGGAAAATCATCCAAACTAGCTGTTGAAAGACAAAGATTGACACTTTTGGATCGTTCAATGGTTAAATGGACACCAAGAAATTCTTGAACAAACCAGCAGGAAGGACTAACGCGAATGTTCCAAAACATGTAACCAACGACACTCCAAAGAATAATTTCGTAATGAAGATTAAGAAGACTGGCAATGGCCATTGGGAAGTCATGAATGGCAACCCAGCTTGATAGACAAATGAATGTTGAAGACGAAGATCTGGTGCATGAAAGTGACGTTAAAAAATTGAGAGGAAAAAGTAACACAAGAAAAAGATGAGGTAGAAGTTGTTGAAGAGCACGAACTCGACAACGAGGCAAAAAGTTTGGAGGGTCCAGTCGGGGACGAAGCGGTGATGATGTCACATGCTACTGTTGCCAGAAAAAGGGACATTACTTAAGAGACAGATAATAGAACGACAGCGATAGCTCAGAAGATTGAGGAAAAAATCAAGAACAAGCTGACGAAAGAAAGCGAGAATTTTCTTTTCAAGAGAAATTTTAAATAATTCAAAAAGCGAGTGAATTCAGACTTAAAATATATTCATACGAAAATCTTCTTATAAATCTTAAGAAATGAGACTTTAAGGGAAAATTACACAAAATGAAATCAAATTCATCGATAACTTCAATGAAAGATTTCGTTTTTTCTTGGAAGTCCTTACCTGATAAATCTTCAATGATGAATTTGAATCTGCATAATCTCAAACATTGCGATTCGTTAACGTCTTTCCATTCAACCATCCAAAGCATCATCAGAACCAATTTGGAGCATCACCTAAGGACAACAAGAAAAATTATTTAAAACTCAAAATCTTTACAAAAAGGTTATCGATGAATTTAGAGATCATTTGTGTAATATTAACAACTGGAAAAATAAGAAAATTTTCTGTAATTTCTAACAACTTTATTTAAAATGATTTTCTTATTCTTCACATTTCCTCAAAGCGAGAGAATTCCGTCGAATCTCGATCTTGTTTCTTTATCATTGTTTTTTATCAGCTTTAGATTATTCATTTTGTATCACAGTCGCAGACACGAACGAAGACGAGGAATCGCGGGGTTTTCACAATTTGTACAATAAATTTAAATTTTCTTTGGCACTACAGAATCATTTGCTGATGCATTTAAAGACCAAAATATCTGACGTCATTGTTGTTATAGTAATCGTCCTCCGTTACAAGGCGTTATTGCATTCCGTAACGTCTTTCAAGTGTGCTTCGCCATAAAATGAGTCCAATGTACATATGCGACGATTGAAAACACAACAAGAATCGATGCAAAAAATCTCACAGAATGGGACTTATGAAACAATTACACAAAATGAAATCAAATTCATCGATAACTATTATGAAAAATTTCGTTTTTTCTTGGAAGTCCTTACCTGTGGAAAATTGTATTCCGCTTCATTAAAAAACTTCAAACTCCTATTGAATAATCACAGAAGATGATGAGATGTCACACCAGCACATGGTTTCAATTGTAGGAAAGGAATTGAATTTTTGCATTGTCATTGCAGTAACCTGAAATTCATAACCAAAAAGATTAAATTTCTTCCGGTTATTGAAAATCTCTTAATTATAACTTACCTATTTTCACTTGAAGCTTTCAATCTCCAAAGTAATGCAATTCTAAAGAATAATTGCTTGAAATGATCTAGTTAACCAAGTTTTCTTCATATTACAGCAACCTAAGAATTTTCAACACACGTTTTTTAATCTCCATTTTGAAAACTTTTCACTCACTTTCACTTCACAAAGAATTTAAAAGAAACTAAACACTTTCACTTTTGCTACGTTGTCGATATGAAATTAAATAAGAACGTAATTAAAATGACCACAATTCACTGCATTTAAATTAATTAATTTTAAGACGATGTTTATTGTTCAACTTCAAGATTTAAACTGAGTGTTAAAATTCTCTCCTACTTTGTTCTCATCTATCGTTTTGTACTAAATAAATTTATCTACCAAAGATTTTAGTACAGAACATTCTACTACCTTAGAAGGTAGAGCTCATATTTTTAGAACGAGCTTTGACAGAAAAGTTGTACAAGTGAAATCAGAGATGAAATTATTTACCAACTTAAAGCGTATCCCAGTAACCTTGTTTGTTATTGACGAAACGAATTGAATTAAATATTTAAATATCTAAAATAAATTCTTAATCACAAAAACAGATATTTTGTCACAGAAAATCAATGAAAATAATAAAAATTTATTTTTTAAAATAATTTTACGTTTAAAAAATATTTTTTATTCTTTTCAGTCTTTGTTGAAATAATTGAAATTTGAAATAAATGAGAATTGTTTCAGATTAATGATGAATGAGATTCAAAGTTTGTACGTTCATTATCACTTTTAACTTCATAAAATTCATCAAAATCTTCATAATTAGTAATTTCCATTTTTTTTCATATTTGGATTGTTAAAATTGAAAGTTCAATCCCATTTTTGGAAACTTGACATCAATAATCAATTCTTCATGATTGAAAATACAACATGTTAAATAAATGGAACGATAATTGATATGTAATTTACATAAAAGATCAAGATACTCACATCAGAATGCATGAAATTGATTTCAATCAGGATTGGTGGCTATTCCATAAAATTATTTTTTATAATTTCTGATAGCACACGGAAGATCATTAACAATTCATCATCAGTAGCCATTTTTAAAAACGTATCTTGAAAATGTCAAATTAAAGCTTTAGGAAAAAGCTGGTGATTAAGATAAAATTTATTTGCCTGGATAATTGAAATCTCATCAATTTTGTGGGTGCAGTAATGTTAGTGACATTAAAAAACTATTTAGAAACATGTGCATGCAGCATCTGCACGCGAAGACAAATCATATTCTCTCAAAGATAATAAAAATTAACAATTTTATGGGAAATCCCGTTGTCGGAAAAGGAGTGGGAGGAGTTAATTGACTTTTAATCATTCCAAAATGTTAATATTAAGCCACAGAATTCTTTACTTTTCATCAGATATTCTTAAATCTTCAGAGAGTGAAGACGTGTAACATTAATTAAAAGTGGAATTATTATCAAATATTGTGTTTTTTTTAACAAAATCGTTTCGGAAAATAATAAAATTGCATCAAGCGCATTAGCAAATAAAAATAACAAACATTTTCTTGGTAAACCGGCTCTTCTTGGATATGTTGCTGGTGTCGGTAGAGGGGCCACTGGATTCACAACTCGATCATTGACCCAGCTCGAGATGCTTATGATGTTTCAGATGACAGACATGCACCACCAACAAAACATAAAAAGAAAAATGAAGACGAAGACGATGATGAGTATTTAAACGATTCAAATTATGATGAATTCTGTGGATATTCCAGATCAGGATTATTTTCAAAAGATCCATATGATAAAGAAGATGCTGAAGCTGATGCCATTTATGAAGCAGTCGATAAACGAATCTGATGAGAAGCATAAACAACACAGAGAGAGAAAAGAAAAAGAAATTCTTGAAAACTATCGCCACGAACGCCCAAAGATTCAACAGTTATTCTCTGATGTTAAAAGATCCCTTGCAAATGTCTCAGAAGCTGAATGGGCAGCTTTACCTGAAGTTGGTGATGCACGTAACAGAAAGCAGAGAAACCAACGAGCTGAAAAGTTCACGCCATTACCTGACAGCGTTTTTTCTAAAAATCTTGGTGGTAAGATAGTAAATGCAATCGATCCCAGTTCAGGTCTCGCTTCAATGGTTCCTGGTGTGTTTACTCAAAGTCGTGACTTATACTTACGTAAAAGTGGACAAGCCCGTAACACCCTCATGGATGTTAAACTTTCTCAAGTTTCTGACTCTGTTACTGGTCACACAATTGTTGACCCCAAAGGATATTTAACGGACTTACAAACTTCCGACATACGGCGGAGAAATTAACGACATCAAGAAAGCACGAATGCTTCTGAAAAGTGCACCTGCATGGATTGCGAGTTCACGTTTGGAAGAAGTCACTGGAAAAGTTCAAGCAGCTCGAAATCTGATCATGAGAGTATGTGAAGTCAACCCAACGAGTGAAGATCTTTGGTTGGAAGCAGCTCGAGTGCAACCACCAGATACTGCAAAAGGTGTGATTGCTCAAGCTGCTCGTCACATTCCAACATCAGTTCGAATATGGATTAAAGGAGCTGATCTCGAAAATGAAGCTAAAGCTAAACGAATTGTTTATCGTAAAGCTCTTGAACATTTACCAAACTCTGTTCGTTTGTGGAAAAGTGCAGTTGAATTTGAAAATCCAAACGATGCCAGAATTCTCTTGTCAAGAGCTGTCGAATGTTGTAACATGAGTGTCGAACTTTGATTGGCACTTGCAGGACTTGAAACCTACGAAAATGCAAGAAAAGTCTTGAATAAAGCTCGCGAAAATCTTCCAACTGATAAGCAGATTTGGATGACAGCTGCAAAGTTAGAAGAAGCGAATGGAAATATTCACATGGTTGAAAAGATTATTGATCGTGCGATTTCATCATTAACTGCTAATGGAGTTGAAATAAACCGTGAACAATGGATGCAAGAAGCAATGGAAGCTGAAAAATCAGGAGCTGTTCGTTGTTGTCAAGCAATTATTAAGTCAGTGATTGCTGTTGGTGTTGAAGAAGAAGATCAGAAACAAACATGGATCGGTGATGCTGAAAATTGTGCAAAAGAAAGTGCATTTGAATGTGCACGCGCTATTTATGCTTATGCTTTACAAATCTTTTCAATGAAGAAAAACATTTGGTTACGAGCGGCATAATTTGAGAAAAGTCATGGAACAAGAGAAAGTCTCGAAGCACTTTTTCAAAAAGCTGTTGCGAATTGTCCGAAAGCTGAAAATCTTTGGCTTATGAGTGCGAAGTCAAAGTGGTTAGCTGGCGATGTTCCAAGCGAATCCAAATATGAGAGAGCGAGAAAGCTTCTTGCGAAAGCGCGTGAATCAGAGCCACCTCCTAGAGTTATGATGAAGTCAGCGAAATTAGAATGGGCTTTGGGTAACTGAGAAGAAGCTTTGAATCAACTTGAAGAATCTGTTAGTTTTTCCAGATTTTGCAAAGCTTTGGATGATGAAAGGGCAAATTAAAGAACAACAAGGAAAGTTATATGAAGCTATTGACACTTATAATAATGGAATCAAAACTTGTCCAACTTTAATCCCACTTTGGTTGTTGTTGTCAGGTTTGGAAGAAAAAAGAGGCGTCTTAACAAAAGCTCGATCAATTCTTGAACGCGGTCGTTTGAAAAATCCCAAAACTGCTATTTTATGGCTTGAAGCAATAAGAATTGAAATTCGAGCTGGTAACAAGGAAATGGCGAACACTTTGTTAGCTCGTGCACTTCAAGAGTGCCCAACAGCTGGTGAACTTTGGTCAGAAGCAATTTTCTTGGAGAATCGTCCACAAAGAAAGGCCAAATCAGTTGATGCACTTAAGAAGTGTGAACATAATCCAAATGTTCTTCTTGTTGTATGAAAATTATTCTGGAGCGAAAGAAAAACACAAAAATGTCGCGAATGGTTTAATCGAACAGTAAAAATTGATCCTGATTTTGGTGATGCTTGGGGATTCTTCTATAAATTAAATTCGAGCTTATGATGGGTAGTGAAGATCAACAGCAAGAAGTTTTAAATCGTTGTGTTGCTGCTGAGCCCAAACATGGAGAGAATTGGTGTCGTATCAGCAAGAACATAAAGAATTAGTGTTTCAAAACGGAAGATATCCTTAAAGCACTTGTTAAGAGTCTTCCTATTCCGATTTAAGATATGAAAATAAAATGTGAATTACAAGTTGAAAACTCGAGAAGATTGACGAAAAATAAAGCAAGAAAAGCAAAAAATATTCCAGCTGCTGTTGAGGAAAAAGGCATAAAAATGTAAATTGATCATGAAATTCGATCATTTAGGAAAGGATATCCAACCCTCACATTCCGCAGTATATTTCAACTGGTCCAAATCTTAATTTTTTATTCAACCTACCGCTTTATTCACAGTCGATTAGGAAACAGATTGTGAAATGACAAGGTAGAAGCAAGCTTTTGTTTAGAACAACTGTTCTATTTTAGATGCAAAGGATCAAACTGACTACATGTAGCCGAAGAAGGAGACATTCTAAGTGGAAACGATTACCAAAAGAACAAAAAATTTTCTTCCATTTGTAATATGTATATTGAAACTATTTTCTTCATTTTTAATTTCACCTAATTCATTAAATAAAATTAAATTCTCATATATCTAAAAATGTTTATTTTCATTTTTTCAAAGTGTATTTTAATTTTTCTATCATTTTCAAGAGTCGCCGGGTCGTCGGCGAAGTCTCCAACTTCGTATTGGTCCCGAAATTAATGCATTAATCACATGAAATGAAATCAAATTCATTGAAATCTTCAATGAAAGATTTCGTGTTTTTAAGTTTCTTACCTGATAAAAATGAATGAACTTGAATCTGCATAATCTCAACCATTGCAATTCTTTAACGTCTTTCCATTCAGCCATCCAAAGTCAACATCAGAACCAAGTTCGAGCATCACCTAAGGACAACAAGAAAAATAATTTAAAGCCTGAAATATTTACAAAGTTATCGATGAATTTAGAGATCATTTGTGTAATTTTAACATGACGGATCTGATTTTGATATGATTGTTTGAGATGCTGCTCAAAAATTTTATAAACTGCCAGTTAAGAAATGGCAAGCTCGAAATTTCCATTTCTATTTCTATCAAGAAGTTAAAACAAGAAAAAGATTAATTAAAAAAAATTGAATTTATAAGTTGAGGATAAAGGTTGAAATTTAAAAGTTGAAATTTTGAATCATGAAAATGGATCGGCGATCCAATAATTTCTTGGATCGCCCATTTTTGTGTTGTAACTTGGGAATCAAAAATACGTGCGTTTTGTTTAATAGTCAGTAAAGAACTCAATTTATTATATAAACTTTTATATAAAAGAAAGTATATAATAAATATTGATAAGATGAGAGAGTATTTGTAATTTCATGTTATATAAAACACTCTGGTTCTAGTATTAGTAGAAATTCTTATACAGGAAATTTTGCCCGAAATTGAAAGATCGATTGTCACAATATGACATTTTAGAAGAATTAGAAGTAACAAGCACAACAAGCTCAAGTCAGATCAGAAAGAAAAAGACTAATATTAATATCATTTTACTTTCATTGCAGAACTAAAAATTGTCTCTGACTCTGAGAGAATGAGATTTATGAAAAATTACACGAAGTGAAATACAATTCATCGATAACTTTGATGAATGATTTTGTTTTTTCTTAGAAGTCCTTACCTGTTGTAAATTGAATTCAACGTCATTAAACAGCTCCAAACTCTTATTGAGCAAACGCAGAAGATGATGAGATGTCACACCAGCACATGGTTTCAATTGTAGAAAGGGAGTTGAGTATATGCATTGTCATCGCAGTAACCTTAAAATTTGTTCAAAAAAACCAAAAAGATTGAAATTCTTTCGGCAATCGAAGATTTTCTCAGTGATAACTTACCTTTTTTTTATTTGAAGCTTCCCAGCTTTGAGATAACCTGGTTTGAAGGAACTAGTGATTGAAATGGTTAATTAAACCAAATTTTTCTCAAATCACAGCAACCTATGAATTTTCACCACATGTTCTTTTAATCTCCATATTTGTAAAACTTTTCACTGCACTTTCACTTCACAAAGAATTTAATAAAAACTACACACTTTAACTTCGTTGTCGATATCAAATTAACTAACAAGCAATTAAAATGACCACAATTCACTGCATTTAATTTAGGTTTTTAGACGATGTTAATTGTCCAACTTCATGATTTAAACTGAGAAATTCTCTCCTACTTTGTTCTCATCTTTCGTCTTGTACTAACTAAATTTATCTACCAAAGTTTTTAGTACATAACATTCTACTACCTTAGTCGGTAGATCTCATACTTTTAGAACTTAGAACGAACTATGAGAGAGAAAGTTATAGAAATGAAATTACCCAATTTACCTAAATGATAAAATATTCGAAACTTTTCAGTAGATAGGTAGGTAATTGATATCAAGGAAACTGTTAACATTCGCTTACCTTGCTTTTCTAAATACCTACATTAATACGAATCATGCTGTTTATTAATAATTTTAAGTAGGTATTAGAAGCAAAATAAATACAAATCACAAAATCAGATATTTTATAACAGAACAGTCAATAAAAACAATAAAAATTTATTTCTTAAAATTATTTTACGTTTAACAAAATGTCAATGTTTGAGATTTTTTGATTCTTTTCAGTCTTTGTCGAAATTTTCTTAATGAGAATTGTTTCAGATTAATAATGAATGAGAATCAAAATTTGCACTTTCTAATCACTTTAAATTTCAAAAGATTCATTACAATCTTCGTAATTATTAATTTCTATTTTCCTCACATTTGGATTGTTAAGTTTGAAAGTTGCCCAAGGCACAGAGAGATGCAAATCACCAACAAAAATTGTTTCCATTTTTGGAAACTTGACATCATTGATGAATTCTTCGTGAGTATAAGGAATTTCTAAATGTTTTAAATTGGGGAACATACTTGAAGCTATATTGTCGAACGTTCCTTTGCTTATAATTAAGGTCTCAAGATTTGGAACGAGTCTATAAAAATTTCTTAAAGCGTCATTTGCAAATGGATTAGATATTGTGAGTTTTTTAACACTTGGATTGATGGCAGCAAAATTATAAAAAGAAGGATCTTGAGGAATGTCTTCTCCATCGACCGATAATGATGAAAGCCTATTCAAGTTTGAAATGGCAAAGTGATAAAAGAAATCAGGAACATACTCGCCAAGTTCCAAATCTTCCAGCGTATCTGATTGTGAAAGAAGAAGATCTAATGCATTATTGTAGTAATTTGTGTAGTTTATCAACTCGTGATCTGTTAAATTCAATAATGCAAGGCTTTTCAATTTGAAAGGAAGAAATTGAACGTTGATTCGATATACGAAGATTGGAGAGATCGGCTTTTTCATGGATTTAAATTCAAAACATTTGAGTTTTCTTTGATTCATCAGAAATTGCCATAAAAGTAAGGGGTCTCCTATTTCGCCACTATAAGATTCTAATATTTTCAATTTATGGAGTTGACTTTTTCTGAAAGGTTGCAACAATTCATAACCACAATTAGACATATCTAAAGTTTTAAGCGATTGAAGTTGAGGCAAATCGTGTTCGGGAATGTTTGCTGAGTATTTAGATTGAATTGATGTAGTCTGATGTAAAACCGTCTTTAAGTTTGGCAAACCATTTAGAATTTTGCAGAGAACAGTCAAGTCGTCAAAAGTGCAGAAATTCACATCAAGCACTTTAATATTTTCGCCATGCTTTTCAAGAAAATTTGACAGTCCATCCACCATTTTAATAGCTTCCCATGGTAATATCTGATTAAGTTTAATTGATGTGAATTTGCGATTACTCTTTGTAAGTGTTTCAATCCAAGAATTATTACACTGCTCATATTGCAATTTTAAATGCCAACTCATTCTGGAAGATATATCATACCATCTGAAACAATAAAGTTCAAGCTTAAAAGTAAACAATGAAAATTTTTGTGGTTTTACGATTTGCATGTGAGTGATGCAGCTTCTAATGCTTTGATTTCTAACATTTCGAAGATTTTTACAGTTATTTCTTCTGGCAATTCTAGAACTGTCTTATGTTTTTGCTCCATAGTTTTAAAAATATATCTTGAAATCCTTCAACGTGTTTGGTACAGAAACGAACTAACGGATGATTGTTATTATTTGCCTAACTTATACATGTACAATACTGGATTGTTCAAAATTCTGCATAATCCGGGAGAGAGTCAGTGTAATCCTTTAAAGAGAGAGAACAGTAAAGAAATGATTGCAATGATTAAAAAATTCTTTTTATTTTTCTTGCGAATTTTTCGTCGTGCTTTATGTTGTTTTAGTCGAAAGAGATCTGATTCGAAGTCAGATTATGAAGGACGATTAGAAGTGGTGAATGTAGTCGACGATAGTCCAAATTTTAAGAAATCTAACACGGTAAATTTCTTATTATTTATTCTGCCATCATCCATCACTAATAAAAGTTTAATAAAAATGACTTTTCTTTCAATCTAGCTGGATAGAGATTGGAATTCATGGGATGATAAACCGAGAACGATAGAGGAACACATTGAAGTGTATCGAGAGAATCTAGTGAAGCCTAAAGAACCTGAACTTGTTAGTGAAACACAAAATATTGATCTTTTTGCGGTACGTGTGAATCATAAATTTTACTTTGAGATCAAAGTGGTTTGGAATGACACGTTGTTATCATTTTTAGGACATGGCGCCAAAAATAATAAAACAGAAGAAAGTTTTAATTAATCAAGGGAAGCAGGAGCAGCCTAGTTTCTCTAGATTGGAGGCAACAGCTTCTGCCGAAATTCCTATAATAGTGAGAACAATTTTTATAAATTAAAACATTAAATATTTTAATTATTTTTAATTTTTAGAATGAGTTAGAAGACTGGAATGAAAATCAACAAGCTGGTTGGGACGAAATAAATGATCAGAACACTAAAAAATTGATTCGTGAGACCAGAAAAGAACTTCGGGCTTCTAAACACAAACCACATTCAATAACTAGATAGGAGACAAGACGAAAGTGTGAATGAAAATCATTTTGAAAAGAATTTTTGATTTTCCACAAGTTTTATAAATTTTCTTCCATAATGGAAAATATTAAAAACTTAACAAAAGCAAAAGTCAACCTAAAGAAAATAAAATTGAAAATAAATTGTTTAGTAATAATTCAATTAGTTTAATAATTTTTTTATTTGTTTTTTGTTAAAGTTTATTATTAAAATTCACATTTACTTTTGATATCTAAGTGTTAGATAATTGTTTAGGTAATAAATATCTTCCCATAATTTGTTTTCTTTTCTGTTTATTATTCGGTAAAGTAATAAATCAATTCCAAAAGGGATAATAAAAGAATTATTGAAGAAATTTGGTTCTATAATGTTATTAGGTTTACAAAAAAAAAATATTCAACACATTTTCATGTTAAAATTAACAGAAATGTTAATTGAATTCACTATTATGTGATTTTTCTATTTAATTTAATTTTACATAAATTTTGTTCATTTCCAACATACATATTAAAAATACGTAATTTCCATGGGGTCAATCAAACTGTTAGAATGCATAATCGTGAACATTAATTGCAGAATAAAAGAAAATATTTGTGATAATATATTTTGTGTCATATCTTAATATGCCTTTGCGTTATAGAAAATTCGTATTTTCAACAATAGAAGAATTTTTATTTTATCTTACTTATTGTATGCATGTTTAATTTACTTTCACCGTGCTCAAATTTTAATTTCATTTTACTTTACTCAAGGAGAATTATCTAGATGGAGACATTTTACTTTCTTAAGGTGTTTGTCATTGAAATCATTAAATTGTCCACAAAAAAGTTTTTATAAGAAAAAAGAATTTTTTCTACAGATTAAGATTAGATTTAAATATTTGTCAATGAAGTCAAGTACACAGAGATAATTTGGATGACTTTAGACAACATTTCCTTTTAACAAACATCATCATGATCGGCTAATTATGAAGCTTTTCTACATGTCTAAAACATATGTATAAATTTTATAGACCTTAAAGTGAACATTTAAGTAAATCAAGGGATATTTCAACATTCAAAATAAATTTCCGATTGACGAAGTGACTAGATAGCTTTTTATAGAATGAAAAATTTGACATATCTATCATATTTAATTTCTCGATAGGACTCGACATGTTGAGCATTAAAAAGAAAATTCATTGAACAAATTAAATTGAGCTTCTACATTTATGTTATTAACCAACACGATATACAATTAATTTTCGTTTAATAATTTGTTAATGGAAGATCAATTTTTGGGCAATTTAAATAGTAAAAATTATTTTCGATGAAAAACTTTTCCATTCTGAATTTCCACTTTTTAAAATTGAGCTTTTTTTATGTTCTTTGAGCAGAGAAATCATAAATTGTGTTGAAATTTTCTCGTATTTCATTTCAATAATAAGAATGGAAGCAACATTCGAGTATGCCTTTTAAAAACATTTGTATTGTGTAATTTAATTACGTTAACTTGTGAATTTTGACTGCAAAATAAGCTTTTCCTTCCCTTTCCCTTACTTTCCACGATAGATTTCAATAATTCTATCCTGATCGACATACTCGAATATGTGAGGTGCATCCATTAGAATACCAACAGTACCAGCAGTGGTGACAATAAAAAAGATGTAAAGCTGCAAGCGATCAATCACCATCGCGACATATTTCCAATCTTCACGAGTCTAAAATTGAATTTTCTATCATTTTTCCATTTTAAAAATGATTTCTTCACAAACTTCTCACCTGAATGTATAAATCTTCATTTCTCAAATGTTCAGCAATGAATTCAACCGCTTCTGTCGCCTTACTTGCTTCCGGTGATAACAAAATCGAGTCAGAACTTTCACTTTCACGTCGACAATGTTCAGCTCCCAAATCACCACCCCCGCTATTAATCTTCCGATTCATCTTACAATTTGGATGATGTAAATCTGATAATTCCATAACTTCCATTTTTGATTTATTGGCACCAATTGAACTGATGTGCTTTGGCATCTCAGTTGGCGAGCCATAAGATGGATGTGAAGGATGAGGTGGAACACTCAAACCGGGCCCACCAGGCATCTCCATCATCCATCTCAAACGAGTCTTTCTCGGACGCTTCATAAGTAACATCGCCGGTAAGTAATGCAAGAAAACTGATCTTATCCACATTGGCATACGATGAGTTCGAGGGCCTCGGAAGTTCCAATTTATAATGATGACAGTGACGAGAATGGACACCGTATTCATGATGAAAGTGAATAGAAGATATTTAGCAATCAATGGCAACACAAGCGAGGTTGGCGGTAGAATCTTCGACACAAGCAACAAGAACACAACAAGTGACAACAAAATACTGATCCCGAGTGTCACCTTCTCTCCAGCTTCAGCAGGCAAGTAAAAGACCAACACACAAAGGAATGAAATCAATACAGTTGGTAGAATCAAGTTGACGGTGTAGAAAAGTGTTTTACGACGAATAATGATATAAAATGTGATATCAGTTTCGGTTGGTGTTCCTTCATAAACATTAAGATAAGCGGGAACTTCAATTATGTCCCACGTGCCCGATTTCCAGTAATCCGATAAATCGACAAAATTTTTGTTATTATAAAGGGCGAGTGAAACTTGATCCCCATTAAATGTCCATGAGCCAAATTTCATGATACATGTTTGTTGATCGAATGGAAAGTATGTAACGTCAATGGTACAAGAGCTTTGATAAATTGCTGGAGGCACCCAGAGAACTTCGCCGTTGGGATAGATGAGAACGTTTGATTTGTAACGAACTTCATAGTTTCCGTCAGCATTGTTGAACAACACAATATCAGGCTGAATTTTATAATGAATAATTAATATTCAACATAAGTTTATAATAAATTCTTCGAACTCACCTTCCAAACCTTGTCTGGTGGTAATCTCAAGACACCAATACCGCCATAATCAGCCTCGTCCCACTGCAGTTGATAATCGCTCCATACCAAGCGCAGCCAGACATTTGACTTCATAATCTGATTCTTTTCATTCTGTTTTTGGAAATAAAGGAATAAAAAGTTGTAAATGAGGTTTTCGCAACTGTTTTCATTCGAGCTTTGAACTTACGACATTAATGAGTTGCACGAAAGCCAAACCAAATCGTACATCGACCTTCTGTGTCATATTTTGCACTGGTCTGATGAGTTTATTGTAGCCTCTGAAAAGATCACGAACCAATCGTTCTTCGTCTTCACTTCCTGTAACTAAAATTAAATTTTATGACTTGAAAATTATTTCGAAAAATAATCAAAATTCACTTACCTTTACTTATACCGAAAATTGACAGCACAAAAAGTGCTGCAATCATTTTCAATAACTTCATTTTAAAGCTTTTAAAATTTTCTCTTGTCGAGTGAATCAAATTTATTTCATTTCTATTTAATCAATTTATGGCACAAACTTGAAAAGTGCTTGCTTCCTTTTAAGATTTTCAGGGAAACGCCTTTCGAGAAAATTTCTTTTATTTGACAAGCAAACTGCTAAATTCTAATGAGCTTTTGCGAGAGTTTGAAAATATGTTTCAATTTCTTTCTCTTATGATGTTAAAAATAAAGCAGATGACTTAACAGATACAATAAATTCACTTGAAATTTTTGCGATGAAGAACTTTTTTTTCTTTCTTTTAGATGAAAACAAGGATAGCAAGAAGATTCAATACTGAACCTTCCGTTTAGAGCCCACAATATTCTCTCTTCTTAACTTTTTGTTTTGCACTTCTCCTGAAGCAAAAAAATATCGATTTTGAGGAAAGTTTCATCTTCAAGTCATCATATAACTTCCAATGATGAGATTATAGAAAATATTTGAAATAGGATGCTCTGGTAGTTGCGCATGAGTCTGTTGATGCTTCTCTCTCTCTTTGAAATTTACCCTCGTGGTAGACGATTTTTATTTCTTTTTTCTCATGAGATGAAAATGTGAATACAGAAAAACACATTTTCACGAGATTTCCACGAAATTCCAGAACACAAAATGGAAAGATTTGTTTTGGGGTTGGTTTGAAAGAATGAGAAATAAATATTTATGTTTATGAAGTTCATATTTATGAGGAAAATGAAAGAAGTTCAGCAAGAATTATTTGAAAATAGTTCAAAGCGTATTAAAAAGCGTACACAAGTCGCAATTATGAAGTTTTTAGAACATTTTTCACAAAGTTTGTCGTTTTCAACATAACTTTTCAGCACATTTGTTGGTGTTGAATGTTTCGTACCAAACATTAAACACAAACAGAAGCAGACATGATGGACAACATTAATCAAAGGAAAACTTTAATCAGCGAGACCAATCAAGGAAAATCGTGAAAAGTTTTCTGAATTTTTTAAGGATTCTCATGAGGGATTTGGCGAAGTCTTGGTTGCTTGAACTGATTAAAATTAGAGGAAAGTTCTGAAACATCAAAAAAGTTTTCTTTTGGATTTTAAATTCATAAAGTTGAACATAAAGTTTTGACAAGACAATTAAGTTAATGAACACATGACTAAAATTTGCTGCAATTTGCTTTCCTTTGATTCAGGTGTTCAACTTCATTTGGTAATTTACAATTCACTAACTGAAAACAAAATTTCATCCTGAAATATAAAATCATCAAACATGAATGAAACAACTTTCAATTATTTTTCTCTCGAAATTTTTCATTTTGAACATGAAAAAGTACAAATATCATTTTTTGGTTTTGCAAATACATATTTTTCTTGTTGCACATTTTAATCATCTCACATCATCCATTTTTTAGGATTTATGTTCATGTCATGATGTTGAAGATTTTCATTTAATTATAATTATTATTTTTGTTGCTGTTGTTGTTGTATTTTTCGACCTTAACATGCTTTTATGGTTTATGAAACGTTCAATGAAATTGATAGTTGGTTAGCTGTCATGTTCATTATGTTGTTAAATCGTTGTTGTTCAATGACATGTCGAAAACTACCTACACCTACATCTAATCAAATAATCTCGAAAAAAATGCGACTGCATGAGGAAAATTATTTGTGAAACATTTGAAAGCAATTTTTTAATGCCAAAGATTCGTTAAATTGTTTGAAATTGTTTTTTCTTTTTCTTTTGTCTATAAACTTGCACAATGAAAGTAAAATTATCAATAATGATTCTTTTAATATAATAAGAAAACTTTACAATTTAAGAAGTTTTATTTGTGTCTAGAGAATCGAAAAATCTTTACCTCATCATCTAGTCATAAATGTTAATAAATTTATGCATGTTAAACATCGAATATTGAATAATTAATTCAGTAAACTTTTTTTTTTCGGATATTTTGCATCCATTTTGAAACGTGATGACTTTCATCTAAACGAGTAATTTTCTCTATTGAGGAATGACTATAAAATGTTGTCATTTTTTATTTCAAAGCAAGAACTCGAACAAACATTGAGGATTTAATAAACAAACGATTATAAGTAGATATTCATGAAAGGCGGAATGTTGATGATGAACATTCAGAAGTAAAATTAAGAATTTTCATCATCGACACTTTCACCTCTCGCTCATTTATCAATATAGTTAATAATGATATGACTAGAATGTGACATAATTTCATTCTTAATATTAGAATGTAAGATGAGATAAATGACTTTACAGATGAGGATGATTCTTCATGATCGCGATTTCCTTCATTTTGTCTTTTTTTCTGTGTCTCTTTCGATAACATAAAATATGATTTTTCTATCCATCATTGTTAATTTTCCTTCCTTTATAAATTGATTGTTATTACAATGAGAATATTCAATAATTAAAGACATTTACCCATTAAAATATTTCTTTAAATCTCAAGAATAGCTTTTATTTTATAGAATGGTTTAATTTAAAACTTCGTCTTTACTTTTTTTTCTTTAAAATATGATTTAACACTGAACTTCATTTAAATCTAATTTCACATTGTTTTTCTTCCTTTAAATGTTGAAATAAGCGCTAGGTAGACGAAAAAATACAGGGCTCTCATAAGTTATGTTTATTTTCTCATATTTTTTGGGAGCAGAGTTGACTATATGAATAATTTCAGTTTTTTTTCTTAGAGGAATTGTCAAGGTAAAATATCTTACATTAAAAGCTGATTTTATTTTACTATCTGCACCATCGAGTCTTTTTCTTCTTAAGATTAATTTTTTATCGTTTTTCTTTCCTCTAACTTTTCTTTGCTTTGTCAATTTTCTTTATTATTGCTTTTGAATTTACAATTCTATTTTTTTTCTCCCATCTTGGCTTGAATTTTCTTTTACGTTTTCATTTTTCTTGAGACATGAACAACCCTGTATTTTGACGGTTGATCTAAAGTGGATTTATCATCATCATTGGTGTAACTATTGCAAGCATAGTTGGAATAAACCTTGATAGTTAACAATTGCATTGATTTAATTTGAGTTATTCTTAAAAATGAATCTTGAAAAGTTCACAATCGAGTGTTATTCTTCCTATGCCGCGCTTAAAGACTTCATAAGTCTTAGATTTTGTAAATTTTGTGAAATCTTCACTGCTTAGACCTCACTAGACATTTTAATTCGGTTATTTACAAAATATATCGTCAAAATTTTCTTCGTTTCTCATATAAAAATTGGAAGAAAGCTTTTTCTTTTGTTTTTACTTTTTTTTGTCTACGATTTTCTTCTATAGAATTAAATTTGTGCCGTTCATGGTTTTTGCACAGCATTGTGTGTCTGGAGTATTTTTTAAGCGGATTGAATTCTCCATGGCTTTTGATTTATGAATAAAACTATCTCTTTAAACGTTTTTCTTATCATTCCGAACTACACACATGTGGATGGATGGACTGTTAAGATATCTTGAATCACTCACAATATCGTTCGCAACTCTCCACACTCCTTTTACTAATCATCTTATCTAATCCATATTTTTTAGATAATCGTTTCTAATTGCAAATCGAAAGTTTGTTTATGTGAAAATTTTTCTATAAAACCTCTTTTGAATATTGCACAATTTGTGGTGTCATTTCAAATGAACGCCGGTTTTGCATTCCTTATTACAATTTCTTGAACACACTCGAGTATCTTCCAAATCGATTCCCTATTACGTCGACTTCCTAATCATTTCTTTTTTCCGTTTTCGCCTTAACAATAACAATCACCATTCATCATGGGTGAAAGATGAGTTTTATTTATTTTTTTTATTTTCATATAAACGTTTCTCTGTTTACTTCATAAAAGCAGTCTCTTGTGTCAGATTTCATACTGTGACCGAGTGAATAGCAGGTGCGGAAAAAAATTGAAACAAAAGCATGAAGTTGTTCATAGAAGTTCGTAATGAAGATGCCAGTTTTGGTGGCGGTGGAGGAAGGAATCTTCGAAAATTTCTTCAAACAACACTGGCGAGAATATAAAACCTCATTTGACGCAGCAAAACATTTTGAGTGCTTTGAATATTTTAACATGTTTGAAAATGAAAAATTTCTTTACTTTCTTCTTCAAACATCGTCCATTATTGATTAAATGATCCTTTCCGTTTTTCATTGCAATAATGAATTTTAAATAAATGCAATTCCAACAATCAAAAAATTACATAATTTGATTTGATAAATTTTTCTAAATATTTATATGCGTTTAAAATATTTTTGTAATACTTGTTTGTTTTAATTTTTTTTTTTCATCTAAACACTGTTATGAAAATTAATTAGATAAGTCATTGGATAGTAAAAATAATTATTTTAATTTATTTATGCGCGCCCATATTGTGCGTTCAAATTGATTATGAAACGAAATTGAAATTTTATCTATCAATAAATATTTTTTGTTTAACAATTTAAGTTAAGCAAATAAAGTGTAAGTTAGGAAGTTTCACAAGCACTAAACATTTAATATTAAAAAAGCTTAAATTGAATTCTTGAGATAAAACTTAAATTAGTAGGAATGACAAAAAATCTTCATATTTTTACTTTTCATATCTCACATAAATACATGTAAGTTAATTTCTTAAATTAAATATTATAATGATGATAATACCTTGTTTGATGATACATGAATATACAATCACATAAAAGTAAGAAATCAAAAATGTTCAGCGAAAGCTTTCGTCAAAAATCGTTAAAAGTTTCACAAATATTTCCAGTTTAAAATATTTTTCTTCTTATCGTATAAGATACAGCATTTATTGCGTGGTAAATATTTTGAGCATTCCTTTGACATCATTATGTATATTAAACTGAATAATATAAGTTTTGAAAATGGTTATGATTTAAGTAAATCTGTCACGATAAGCATACAGATGAAACATAATTACAGTTGCTTTCTGTTACCTCCAACATCAGCTTACTATTTCCTTCATCTCTAATAAGAAATTCTATGTCATTTAAGAATTTAACATTGATTACGATTAAAAATTTATTAAATGTGTGTTCGAATAACTATGACAAAAATACAGATAAATTGATTCAACATTTATGCAACGCTTTAAGTAAATATTTCTTTTATGACGACAATTGACGAAAGCTTTCAATTTTCAATAAAAAATATTAAATTTATTGGAAAAAGAAACAAAAAACAGAAGAAGAAGAAGCGTTTTCATTAATGAATATTGTGCCATTTAACCAGACAATATTTGAGTTTCACATTCCATCATTATTAAATTTATCCTAAATAGAAATAAACCAACATTTAATGTTTTCTATTTTTATCATTTAACTCGAAAACAAACGAAATTTTCAAGCAGGTTTAGGAACTGCTTCCCTCACAACTTCATTTCCCTTTTTTTTATTTTGTTTTGTTTTAATAAGTATTATTAAGTATTAAACTAAGCAAATGGACACATAGAAAGAGATTTAAAAAGGAAATTGCAATCGTAGATGAAAAAGAGTGAAAGAGAGAAAAAGTTTAAAGTTTAAATTAAATTAAATTTAAAATCAAAGGATTCATTAAATCTTAATTGGTTTTAGTTTTTGTATTGTTGGTCTTGAAGCTAACTTGTAAGACCCGATTGCCTAACGTGTAGCCATTGAGTGATTGAATGGCAACTACAGCTTCATCGTAATTGGTCATCGTGACAAAGCCAAAACCTTTGCACTTGTTGGTTTGCAAATCCTTAATAACCTTAACACTTTGAACTGCTCCAAATGGACCGAACAATTGCCATAAAACATTTTCTTCGGTCTCTGGTGCGAGATTATATACAAAAATGCACCAACCTGAGCCATTTATGGCATTTGCTGATAACACTGAATTGTTCAAGTCACCTGTCAACGGAGAGTAACGGAAGCGTCCACCAATATGATGAATAGGACCAGTTGGAAAGCGTCTTAAATTTGCAGCAGCTGGTGTTAAATACGCTGCCAGTGGTGGAATTGCCTTATTGATATTATTGCTTGGATTATTTGCAAATTTAACCGTGATTGGTTCAGTGCATGCCTTGGGCGTTGTGCCGTTTAACGACTGAATAGCACGTTCAGCTTCAGTTCTCTGATCGAAGCGAATAAAACCAACTCCTTTTGAAAGACCTTCAACGAGAACAAACAAATTGAGAATTATTTAATGATATTAATCGTCATTAAGATAGAACGTGTCGCTTCGTTCGTAACTACAATTAAATTTTCCCTCCTCTTACCCGTTATATTATCACACAATATACGAGATGTTATTATTTGTCCGAATGAGTTGAACAACCCTTCCAAGTCTTGTTGTGTCATACTTTTCGGCAAACCAGACACGTAGAGGTTTGCGCCTTTTATGGCATCCGAGCTGGGCCGAGCGAATGATACTTTGATGGTTTTATTTTGCAAACGTAATCCGTTGAAAGTATTTATTGCTTTATCAGCATCTTCTGCACGTACGTAATTTACGAAACCATAGCCTAGACTTTGACCTGAAATAGTTAAATAATTTGTTTTATATTTAATTAATTGCCATGGCTAATTGAATTTCATTTATTACCTGTGACTTTGTCACGAATTAATTTGCATGATTCAACTTCTCCGATGCTACCAAACAATGATTTAACTTCCTCTTGTGACATTGTTTGTGGCAAATAGTTCACAATTAAGTTTGTTTTGCTGATGTCGTCGGTGGATCCAACAGAACCTGAGCGTCCATTTTGCTGTACTGCTTCTAAGCCGTTTGAAATCATTTTGCTTCACGCTTTTTATATCTTTTTTTCGATTTTGATTTTTTTTTATCTTGGATGGACGTTTTCAGTGGTCGTGTGTTTGATTTAATTTTCTTTGTAAATGTTGATTGTCCAGTGGATGTAGAATGTGACAGGTATGCACTTTTGAGCTTAATTAATTTCCTAATTCTTTGATTAATATTCCTAAGCCCAAATCTTAGATTTGCGGATTTTGATTCTCGTTTCTAAGTAAATAGGAGAAGAAAAATAAATAAAAGAAAAGTTGAGAATTATTTTGATTTTCTTTGTTATTAAGAAAAACGATTTGGTTCATTCTCAGACAAGTAAATGAAAGGAAGAATTCACCAAAAACTTTTTCATTGATTTTAGTAGATCTTTGAGTGTTGTTTTATTTTTCTTTTCTTTTTATTTGGTGGAGGAAAAACAATTTTTCTTTCTTTAGGAAAGGAAAAAAAGAGAAAAAGGAAAATATTCACGCCCTTCATTAAAATATTTTCCATTCGATTATCTTCTCCAACTCCACCCTAAGAAGTCTATTGAAGAATTACTTTAAAATTTCATGTGAAAACGATATTTGCAACATGATAGAATAATCCGATTTCTCTTTATCCTTTCGGATAGCTGTGAATGGATATTTCAAGGGTTGATGTTATGGTTTGTGATTTCCATTTTATGGATCTCGTTTTAAAAAATCCCAGTAAGAAATATTTCGAAGGCAAATAATTTGTAACGAATGTAACTTTATTTCTCTTCATCATTAAATTGTCATGATTTATGTCACACATCAGTCGATTGAGATTGATCGAGTAATGGAAGAATGTCACGTTGCTAAGAGTAAAAATAGTAACTACCCTCTGGGCATTTGGACATTATAAATAGAATCAATCTGATAGATCCATTCAACGCAACAACAAAATATTTTTGCGCAGACACTTCGAGAGAGCTTAATAATTGATGAGAGTGCACTGAGTTATTTTAACTTCATTGATCTTTCATTTTTCATGACCAAAAAGAAGGAAACATATCAAATTATATTCTAATTGCATCTGAAATTCAATGTTTCAATGCACAATGACAAAAGAAGGAAAGTTTGTCCTTCAAATGATGATGACGAGAGAGAAATTACTCGATAGGAACACACCTAGTTTTCAGAGACGATGGAAATCTTGATAAAACGAGAAATTCTAAAAAAGTTGTAAGCACAAATTTTAGATTTTAGAAATAACTTTCACTACTTGATGCATTATTTACTTTATCTCACTTAATTATAGAATGAATAAAAGGGAAAAAACTAAAATGAAACAACGTGGAACTGAAGTCAGCAACGAAAATCAGCACTTTTCAGAAAGAATTTTCAAACTCAACTGAAATAGTAAGAGAAGTGAGTGGAGAGGAATGGAATTTTCCTTGAAAAAATATATAACAAAAATATCTCATTCCGTTTTGTCTATAGGTGGGTGGCTTTTGATGGAGGAGAAGGGAAAAATGTTTATGGTTCGTATATATTAATGCCGGTTGGCGCAGGGGTACAAAGTTTCCGTTAAGCATGCAATCAAACATGAAGCACGTTTCATCACTAACATAACTTAACCGTAAATACGATTATTTTACGAATTTTACTAATAAATAATATTCATCTTCACATTTGTCTAATTACTATTTATTTGGAAATGAAATTAACGTGGAAATATTTTTTCATTATTTTGTTTTCCTTTCCATAAAGTCTTTGAAAACGTTGGAAAAAGACGACGAGAGAGCAGCTCAATGGAAATACTAACACAATCGTTGTTTGCTCTCCTTTCAACTGTTTTCTTGTTTGTTCTACATTTCTCGTTCATGTGATGCGGGCGTTGTGAGGATTTTCTTGCCATCCCAAAGAAGAACATCTGAAGGGTTTTCTTTGACATGCAGATTCATCAACATAATTTTATGCAGAAGTTTCTTCCTTTTTTGATAAAGTCATTTAACCCTTACCCAAAATGTTTATTAGATTCCATAACTTTCCATCCAAAGGGCAATTATCAAGGGTTGAGAAATAGAGCAAATAATTTTTGATGAAATATCTTTTCACTCCTACGCTGAAAATCAACGTGAGCAGCATAATTCTCTCATTTATGAATATCAATTTAATATTTTACGCTCTATTGTTATCGTCAACGTGAATTTATAAAAAGGAAGGAAATTTTCACGTCTTCTCCAAGAACGTCCACCCACGCAATACAATCGCGAAAGTAAACGACAGTCACTAATTTCGTTTCATCGATTCGATATGGAAGAAAATTTTTCATGCTATTTTCTTCACTTGACTTCTCCCCTTTTGTTTTGAGGGTTTATAATAAAATCGTTAAGTGTAGCAACAACTACTAAATATATGATGTAGAATGTGGAAATCATTACAAATGCGAAAGAGATTTCAAGTAAGTGATTATAAAGTACATAAAACGAAGCAAATGTACACACCAGACATTTACTTGTGCGATGTAGAGATACACACGCAAAGGCTAACAATGTAATCAACGTAGAAGAGGGTAAATAAATATATTCAAAAACCTAATCCGAGATTGTTAAAAAATTGGTTTGTTTGTCCTCGACTGGTTAATAAGTCAAATTGCTGAATGTATCTCTATAAGCGCACAACCAAGTTCTTAATTGATTCAAGAAAGTTTTATTAGAAAATAATGAAATTTAGTAGGTGAACGTCAGACGGGCGGGCGTTTAATGTTCTTTATGTGAGACTTAGAAACGATCGTTCACAAGAGTCGCTATAAATGTTTCCTTTTAAATGAAATTGCATGTTTGCCACAAAATATTTTCCAATTATATTTGGTTTCTCTATGAAAACGTTTATGAGCCCCGCACCTATGAATGAGTAGAAGCAAAATAAAGGTAAACATAAACACCAACGCTACGTTGTGCTGCGCTCTACAAAAACAGCTCCTAAGTTTAATGGCAACAAATGTATTATGTTGAATGTGTACTAAAATCAATGAAAATTAAATCTATAAGTTTGCCATCGTTTTTCAAGAGAAAGTTTTTCCTACAAATTTTCATTATTTTTCTTCAGCGCAAAAAAGGGAGGAAAAATCGAGCGAAAATATTTTTTAATGAATGGAAAAGGATCGTGAGAGAGTTGAGAGTAGAAAGTTCTCTTTTCCCGGTACCTTCATCTGCTACCATGTCAATGAAAAAAGGAAATGCGATAAATTATCGTTTGGGTTTTCTTTTTTCTCTTTTTTTTATTTTTTTTGGAGGAAACTTTGGGGAATTGTTACAAGCTGACTACGGATAAGAAAATAAACCATTCACCCTTTTTAAAAATAGCAATAAAGAGTATATTAGACCTTTGGTTTCAACAAGAGAAAGTCTCAAATTATTTTCTGCTTTTCATTCTGTATAAGGAAAGAAGCTCTCTTGATTTTTTTTCCACTTGACAAGATGAGGGTGGGGTTGAAAGAAAAAGAAGAAATTTATGAAAACTTACTTACTTTTAACTACTTGTTCGTCTTACAAGCAGCTTAATGAGTGTGTAATCCTTGGAAGTATCTGAATGAGAGATTTCTTGTACTTTTTGAACTTTAAAACTTGTGCAAAAGTTTTTGTTCTGAGCTCTCAGAACTTTAACTCTTTTAATACTCGATTTTATGCTTTCAACTCATAAAATGTAAATCATATAGAATTTTCAACTTAATTACACTTTAAATCACTTTCTTGAGAATGTTATAGAGATGCGAGCAGTGAAATTAGCTTCAAATTAATTTTGGTCAACTTCTCAACACTCGATCAAGATTCTTTGAGAAAAATCTTGTTTTCGACGAAGGATGGGAAGGATCTCTTTCCCTTCTCTTTGTTTTAGCAGAAATAAACTTATGCAATTATGTGGACGAGACAAAAAATGTACACTTTTGTGACTTTATGTGTTGCACAAGATAAAATTAACAAGGAAAATTATAAGAACTTGATGTACGACTAGACGAAAATCAACCGCTTTCTAATGTGAAATAAAACTGGATGAGACTGAGGTGTGTGTGGAAAAGAATTCCTGCTCCAACGATTTTTTCGTTTCGCTCGTGACTTTCCAATGCGGGGGCCTTTAATCGTTTTTGTGCTTTCCTTCCATTCGTCAACACGATGAAGTCATTTCAAATATGCTTTAAAGCTTCTTATTTGAGAACTTTCTGGAAGTTTCCACTGGAAATAAAAAGCTTTTAAATTATCCCGAAAACTTTACATTTTTAAATTTTCCTTCAGTTAAGAAATTATTTTAAAAGGTTTTCATTTGAATCAATTCGAAAGTTTTTATTGATTTAATGAAATTTTAATATTTAAGACTTCCAATTTTATCCATTTTAATTTGAAGATCAGCATTATTGCCAATTATTCTGTAAATTGATGATTCCAATTCTTCGAACTGATCTTGATAGGAAGTTGATGAAGAAAACTTGTCCAAAGAGTAAACATGACATTTTCCTGTGTCATCACCAACAATTAAGGAATTTCCAGATGAACTTAATTTAATGATTGTCAATTGTTCATCATCAAAGGTTTGCGTTATAATTGGTTTCAAATCCTTTTGTCTTAAATCCCAAATATTAATTGATCGATGTGTACAACTTGCGATAATTGTTGAATCAATTGGACTCCAATATGCGCTGTTGACAGCATCATAATCACAAGATAACTCAAATATAGGTTGATAAATGTTCATAATCCAAATACGAATCATGCAATCAGATCCAGAACTAAGAAATATCTTTGGCGAGAAAGGTGAAAAATCGATAACTGAAACAACGCCTTGATGTGCTTGAAACATTTCAATTTGCTGATTTGGCAATTTTGTTGAATAAATATGAATACAACCTTCATCAGTGCCAATCATATACATATCGTCAGTCATTGGAATCATTTTTAAACACAATGCCTGTGGATGTTGATTAGCTTCAACAAATTCCTTCTTGTGCTTGTTGCTTAAACCGAGAACTTCACCTTCAACACGATCTAAATAAGCCAATTTGTAGCCAGTCAGATAAGGACCAGATGACAATTCATATTTCATAGCACGACCATCTTGTGACACTGATAGAATGAATTCATTATCTTCATTTGGAACCCATTCAAACTTCCAAACAGGTTCAACACCCGGAGATGATTTTCTTTCACTTTTTGCTATACTTGGAGAATTTTCATTAGGATTATTTTCTGTTATGTCAATAACTTCCACAACACCACTGTAAAGTCCAACAGCCAAAAGTTGTGGATTTTTATGTGAAAACTCTACAGCTGTGACTGACTCTTTAAACCGATAGGAACGTTCAGGATTCACCGGGTTTTTGCAATTCCAAATAAGAACATCACCTGAACTTCTGTCAACATCATCAGTTAAATAGTAGACGCCGTAAGCGACTGCAAGAATATTCAGATTAGCAGGACACAAGCACATGGCAACGACATGTTTTCCATTTGTTTCTTCACTTTTGTAACACCAGAGAAAGTTTAAATTTGATGAGTTTTCATTCTTTGTTGTCGATTTCATGTTGAAAATTTTCTTTTGTTGTGGTCGGAAATTATTTTCAGCAAGTAATCGTTGCAATATCATTGATTTCAACTTAAATCTTTCATTAAATTGTTCATCTGACTTGAAATTTTCAATTTCCTCAATATCGTCTGAGTTCAACTTTTCAGATTTCTTTTCTAAGTCAAGGTACGTGTCAAACATCACAGAACTGCTAACAAACGAATCTTTTTCTTTTGACTCAATGACATTTGTGTTGACTTCACGTGTCTTTAATAAAACATTTTCAGTTTGAGTAAATGCTTGGCCTTTTGGTCGTTGTTTTCCAAGTCCGGTTGTTAAGTAATGCATTCGTGCATTTTGCTGTTCAACTCTTTCAGCTTCTTTCGTTCCTTTTGGAACAATCAAACTGACGTCTTCATAAACATCAAACTCAACTTCTGTTAATCTTGCTGTCATAAATTTATTTTCCTTCTTCTTTACTTCATTCTTTTCAATGATTGATTTCTTTGAAAAGGTTTGAAGATCTAATGCGAAGGCTTCTTCAAGTTGATTTGAGATTTCGTCCAAATCTTGATTTTCTAACTCAAAAGATTTTCTTTCAATTTTTGGTGGTTTTAAATTTTTGAATAAATCTTGAATATTTGAATTGAATCTTGGATTAATATTTTTACAATCTCCTTGATTTAAGTTGTCTTCGCATGTTAATGTCGCAGGTGTTGCATCGCGATTTCTATAAATTATCTGAGAATTTTCATTCTTTTATTATAATTACGTGAAGTTTTTAATATTTCTATCATACCTTAGCTGCTTTACGATGCTGAAGTTGTTGTCTCAGCTGATCATTGTAATCAAAACTTAATACCTCAGTTTCATTCGATTTTTCCTGCTTATCATTTGAATTTTTTAATTTCAAATTGATTTCTTGATTGGCACTTGAAGATAAACTAGCTTCACTTGAAACTGGTGTGACAAAAGAATTTACTTGACTTTTTCGCAGATCAACAGCTTCTGAAAATCTCTTGACAACTGACTTTATATGCGTTTTTCTTGTTTGCATTTTTAAAGTAAAGTGAAAGCAATTGAATTGGTTCTATTTGGATTTTATGAAATGTTCTGATAATCTTGAAAAAAATAATAAAAAGCTTACTCAAATGTACTCGACCGGAAGCGGAGATTCCACAAAAATTGCCTTGAAAATCGCTTAATTTTCCTTCAAGGATCCTTTTTTCAACTCTTCAGGGCAGAACCTCACGGAATCTGCTGAAGGCAAGCATTCAAGCGGAAAGCTTGTGCCGCTCGGATTACTCGAGTTATCTTTTTTCAAATGAGTCAGTTTTTTGATAACATATCAGTTATATGACATCAGTAAACACCAAAAATCTGCGAATAAAACTGCCGAAAAACGGCTTCCAATTTTCATATTTTACGGTCATTGCTAGTGGACAGACCAATATTTAAAGAACATGAAACTAATTTCCAAATTACTTTTAATTTTCGTTCTTTCGGTTTCGTTTGATTTTAGTTACGGACAACAGGAACAAGGAAATAGAATTTTTGTGAATATCGGTAAATTTGATAGTGATACGGGGAGAGATGAAATTTTATGCGTTGCAACCATTTTCACATCACGACTTGCTTTGACAACAGCAACTTGCTTAAACGTTGATCCTTCGATACCTTTGTATATAACGTTCACGTGGAGTAATGGAGTATTTCCAGTGTTTAATAGACGTTAGTATTGTTATTGTTATTTAAAGTGTTAATTCATAATTAGAAAATTTTTATTTTTAATTTGAAGAACGGTTTGAAGAAATTTTTATTCATCCAAATTTTAATATTACTGGAAATAATGAGAATAACATTGCAATGATCCGGGTAAGTTGCAACTAATAATTGTTAAGTAAATAAATAATATTTAAAATTAAAATTTATCTCCTTTTGCAAATTATTCAGAGTAACTTTGGAGAGATTTACTTTGGATTAGATCAGAGCTTGGATCAGAGAGTTCCAGGAGAACCGAGAGTTCCAGGAGCACTTGCAACAAATTCATCTTGCGTCATACGAATGACTCCTTTGATTGATTTTGAGCCTGTTAGAATGTACGCACCACAATATTGTAACCACACCAGCATTGCTAATGCTCATTGTTCAATGTCATCGTGCTTTAGACCATGCGCTGCTGAACATGCGTCTCCAGTAGTTTGCTCCCAAGGCGGACCATTTATGAGTATCGTTCATGGAATCCTAATAAGCCCCAGAGATTGTGAACCTAACTATACTGACAACAGGCAGTTTTATCTTTCTCTCAGTGACTATGCTGATTGGATAAACGAAACAATTTCATTGCACTCAAGTTCCAGGAAAAAAGTTGAATCACTTCTCCTTATCTTATCATTAATATTTGTCACGTTTCCAGTCAAAAATTTATTTAAACCTCATGACTAACGCTGATGTAAATAAAACATGAATAAAGGATCAACAGTTGGAATTTCAATCTTTTTTATTCAATGATCGAATCACCATCGCAATGTGAATTATTTGTTAGCAACACTCAATACCCGATAGCAACGTTACCTTCATTGTTTATAATCGATCAACAATTGCAATTTTCATAAGAAATTTCTTGATTGAATTTATTTTTAAAAGTGATAACAATTGTGTGATGACATATTTTCGTCAGAATTACTTCCATTAGCAAGATTTGAGCTTGATAAAAGTGACAAAAATTGATTGAAATTAATTAAGAATTGGTTTTCACTTTTTCAATTCCTTAACAGAAGATAAGCAAATATTTTGATATTCGTCTAATCACTAAGAAATGCAAGGAATTGACCGAATTAATAAATCTGTAAGTTCCAAGAATTTATTTTTCTCAACTTTATTTCAATTCATTCCAATCATCAGCAAGGATTTCCACCTTTAATCGCTAAATCTGAAACCATTGAAGAACTTCCGTCAACATCAAAAATTCCAACATTGCCTTCAATTTCGCCAAAACATTCCAATGAAAAGAAACTCAAGAAACGACAAATGTCGAGTGAATCTGACATAACATGCGATATGAAAAACTTAATTGAAACGAAAGTTAAGAAATTGCAAGACAATGCTTTCTTGTTTCTCGTCTATACAAATCCACCATCAAGTGGAGACTTCAATCCTTATAGTCTCATGTAAGTTGGATAAATTTTTAATGCTTTTATACATTTCTCATGTCTTTTTCATCTCAGAGTTGTTCCCTTCTCGAAAATCGATAAAAACAATTATTTCACAATGAGTAAATTTGGCGTTACATATTGGAGTCCAACAGAGAATTATTTCACTCGTCTCGACGATTGGTATGCTGAATATTTAATGTTTTGGAAATTCAAAAGTATAAAAACCTTTAAGAAGTTTCGTTTATGGAAAACTTTCCATATTTGGAATAAAAGCATAAAATGGAGAAAGTACAATGAAGCTCGTTTGTATCTTGGCGACAATTTATTCTTTGCTATTCCGGATCTGCACAAAGCATTGATCGTTATGCGTGAAGATTATTGTCAACTAATTAATAAAAAATTCACTGACATCAAAGTTCTGGAGAACTGGAATTTGTTTTACTTCATTGAAAGTCAAATGGCGCAATTCGAGCACACGAAAGAACTTTTGAATAGTTTTCGGAAGAAAATTCTTACAGAACTATTTCATGCATGCTACGAAGCAATCCAAGCTCGAGGCTTTTCACCTGAAGATGAGATCATCAATTGCAAATCAGTTAAAAAAGTTAAAGAACAAATCAGTTTCAATATGCGAGCTAAAAAAAGGAATTTTTGTTTGAGACTTACAAGCTTTCTGCGTTTGGCTGACTACATAATCATTGAAGTTCTTCATTCTGTTCTTCACAACTCATTCGATGAAATTGCAAAAGTATTTCAAATCCACACCGATTTGGGACCAAGTTTCCAGAGATTGAAAGCAGTGACTGATACTGGAAAACCTGTTGAAGACTCAAGACCTGAGGGAGTTCCACAAAATCCTTTAATGTCAGCGGAATTGCTTCTTAAACCCGACAGTATCGAAGTTGATCCATCGCGAAGTGTAACTTCACATATTGTCGGTCAAATTATTAATTTATTTTATGAAGCTGTTATGGAAATTGAAGCCTTTCAAAGCGATGCTAGGTTTAAACTTTTTACTGAGCCAAGTATTGTTGGACGTCAAGAAGATCGTTTGTTTGACAGGGCATTGTCGATTTATTTCATGATCAACATAGATCAGAAGATGAAGGATGACAAACAATCAGTCATTGATAACATTACGATTGCTTATGATAAAGTTGATGAATATGTGAAACGATTCAATCCAATTCGAGAAGCCTACAAAGAAGATGTTCAGATGGATAAGGAAAAGTTGAGGAATGAGAAAGATCTTGACACACTCATCACATATTGTGAACGTTACACAACAGAAATGATGGGATTAGAAGGCATTCTATCAAATTGCAATTTGGGTTTATTGCAATTGAAGCAAGGAACGTTTAAAGATGAAATCATTCCAACATGTCGTGAGTTGCTTTCAATTCTTGAACAACTTTTACCGAATCTTGCTGAAGAAACTGTTTTGGAAGTTCGTGAAAAGGCTGAGAATTTAATGACGAAACTAACGACAGTGCCAGTTGACGCACAAAGTTTTGTTAATTATTTAGATTTCTTGGAAAAATGTTCAACACGTATTGAAGACATTGAGAAAGTTCTCGGCTATGCATTGCGTGCTTTCCAAATCATGAAAGACTTTGAAATTATGATAAGCGATGAAGAAAAAGAAAAATTTTCAAACACAGAACAATTTCTTCTTCACCTGAAAGCCGAACTTCGATTAAAAGTTGAAGCTCGACAAGATATTATCGATCAACTTGCTGCAAGTCTTCAAAGCGACATTAAAAATATTTTCGAAGACGTTGAGTCAGTTCGAGTTGAGATAATAAAACCGGAATTAATTGACGTAAGAAAATTATTAAAAATGAAAATTTTAAACTTTAATTTCCATTAATTTCCAGGAACATTCTGAAAGTTCAACAGTACGAGAAATTCTTTCTGAACTCATGGAAAAGCTTCACGAATGTCAAGAAGATTCTCAAAAGATAAGAAAATGGCAAAAAGAATTTCGAATTGAAATCACACGATTCGATTCTCTTGACATTGTGTTTCAAGAAGTTCGATTACGACAATTGCTTTGGGATAGCATTCAACAATGGAAAGATTGCTATGAAGAGTGGAATGAAATGTCATTTCACAAACTTAACATGCAACAAATTGTTGAACTTAACACTAAAACTTTAAAAAATTGTGGAATGCTTGAAAAAAATCTCCCGAAGAATGAAATTGTTCCAAGATTAAAGAATGAATGTGAAGAGTTTAAGGAAAAAATTCCAGTTTTGCAATGTTTAAGATCTCCCGACTTAAAGCCACGTCATTGGCTGAAGATTGAACAAATTCTCGATCGTAAATTGCTAGGAGTTGAAACGCTTTCACTTTATACATTTGAAGATGCAAATGCATTTGAAGGGGAAAACGCAAACGCAATTCAAGATATTAGTGGACAAGCAAGTGGAGAAGCACGGCTTGAAGACTCGTTGAAGAAAGTTGACACAGTTTGGAAGACTCAAGAACTTTTAATAGCCCCTCATAGAGATTCACGTGATATTTTTATTCTTGCCGGTGCTGATGAAATTCAAGCAGTGCTAGATGATTCGAACATCACAATAACAACAATTGCTGCTTCAAGATATATTGGAGCATTAAAGCCAAGAGTTGACGAATGGGTTCGTCAATTGGATGTGTTTGGGAAGACGTTAGATGAATGGATGTCATGTCAACAGAGTTGGATTTATCTTGAAGCGATTTTTTCATCTCCTGACATTCAACGACAACTTCCACACGAAGCAAAAATGTTTACTGTTGTTGATAAGAATTGGAAGGAGATCATGAGAAATGTTGCTAAACATCCACTCGCATTACCTGTCATGACACAAAACGGTTATCTCGAAGTCATGATTAGAAACAATGGATTACTTGAACAAGTCACGAGATGTCTTGAAGCATATCTTGAAGTTAAGCGTGCAGCTTTTCCACGTTTCTATTTTCTATCAAACGATGAGTTGCTTGAAATTCTAGCACAAACTAAAAACCCTCACGCAGTTCAACCTCATTTACGTAAATGTTTCGATGCAATCGCAAGAATAGAATTTGGAACGAAATTTGGTGAGAATAAAAATGAAAAAATTCAAACAAATGACATTTTGGCGATGATTTCACCGGAGGGCGAAAGAGTTGAATTCAATCGAGGGTTGAAAGCTCGTGGAGCTGTTGAAGATTGGCTTGGAAAGGGTGAAGATGCGATGAATGCTTCACTTAAACGATGCATGAAGTACGCTTATCAAGTCTACCCATTAATGGAACGAACAGTTTGGCTTGGCAATCATCCAAATCAAGTCGTCCTTACCGTTTCTCAACAACAATGGGCACTTGAAGTTCACAAGATTTTAGACTCTCAAGACGAGCCATCTGAAGTGATAAAAAATCTGAAAAGTTTCGAAGAGACATTGACGAAGAATTTAACATCTTTAGCCACAATGGCTCGAATGAGTCTCAGCCCACTTTTAAGGAAAGTTCTCTGCGCTTTAATCACGATTGATGTTCATGCTAAAGACACAATCACAAGCATGATTGCTGATAAAGTTGTCAAGTCGTAAGTTAATTTAATATTTAATTAAATTTCAATGATTTCAATTTTAAATTTAATTATTTAGTGATGACTTCAACTGGTTGAAAATGCTTCGTTACTATTGGCTAGCAGATTCCGAGACGATGGAAGCGAGGATGGCATCAGCGAATGTTCCTTACTTTTACGAGTATCTCGGAGCTGGTGGTGTTCTTGTCATCACTCCTTTGACAGATCGCTGTTATTTATGTCTAATGGGAGCTTTACAAATGGATCTTGGTGGTGCACCAGCCGGCCCTGCTGGTACTGGAAAAACTGAAACAACGAAAGATCTTGCAAAAGCTTTAGCAATTCAATGTGTCGTGTTTAACTGTTCTGATGGTCTCGATTACAAAATGATGGGACGATTCTTCTCGGGATTAGCTCAAAGTGGTGCTTGGTGTTGTTTCGATGAATTTAACCGAATTGACATTGAAGTTCTTTCTGTCATTGCACAACAATTAATCACAATTCGCAATGCAAAAGCAATGAAAGCGAAAAGATTTATTTTTGAAGGTCGTGAAATTAAATTAGTGCAATCGTGTTGTGCTTTTATAACGATGAATCCGGGATATGCTGGAAGAACTGAACTTCCTGACAATCTCAAAGCACTTTTTCGACCTGTTTCGATGATGATTCCTGATTATAAACTTATAGCGACGGTGATTCTCTACTCAGAAGGTTTCGAGAACTCAAAGAGACTCGCACAGAAAATGGTTCAAATGTATAAACTTTGCAGTGAACAATTGAGTCAACAAGATCATTATGACTTTGGAATGCGAGCTGTTAAAAGTGTCTTAGTGATGGCTGGAGCATTGAAACGTGCTGCACCACATCAATCAGAGGACATCACACTGATTTGTGCTTTACGTGACTCAAACTTACCAAAGTTTCTCAGTGACGATGCGATTCTCTTTAAAGGAATCCTAAATGATTTGTTTCCTGGCATTGAACTTCCAGTAAGTGAATATGGAGAGTTGCAAGAAGCCATCGAGTTTTGTATGAAAGCAAGAAATCTTCAAACACTTCCAGCTTTAGTCACGAAATGTATTCAACTTTTTGAGACGATGCGAGTACGTTGGGGTGTGATGCAAGTTGGACCAGCTGGAAGTGGAAAGACTTCAATTCTTTATACACTTGCAGATGCATTAACAAAGTTGTGCAATGATGAAGTTCAAGGGTCAGAATATCGACAAGTCAGAATTCAAAGTTTAAATCCGAAAGCAGTGACGATGGATGAACTTTATGGTGCTGTGAATCTTGCAACATTGGAATGGAAAGATGGCTTGCTTGGACTTGCAGTTCGTTCAGCTGTTAATGTCATTGAAGAACAACACCAATGGATCGTTTGTGATGGCCCTGTTGATGCAGTTTGGATTGAAAACCTCAACACTTTACTTGATGACAACAAAATGCTTTGCTTAGCAAATTCTGAAAGAATTAAACTCACACCTTGGGTTCATATGGTGTTTGAAGTTCAAGATCTCGCACAAGCGTCACCAGCAACAGTTTCTCGTTGTGGAATGGTCTACATTGACTCAGCTGATTTAACATGGAATGCTTTAATTATGTCATGGTTCAATACAATCGATGAAGACGTTTTCGATTCAGGATTGAAATCGTATTTGAAGCTTTTATTTGATAATTTTTTTGATGACCTTTTGAAGTTTGCAAGAATGAAATGTTCGTTCATGATACATCAAGTTGAGATAAGTAAGATTGATATGCTTTGTACATTGTTGAAATCGATACTGCTGGAAATTCCAAACGTCAATCTCATGGATGAAGACGATGTGAAGTGTTACATTTGTAAGATTTGGATTTGGGCAACACTTTGGTCGATTGGATCGAATCTCATGGAATCGTCTCGTGTAATGTTAGAACAACAAATGAGACAACTTGTTGAAAAATTTCAAGATGCTGATTTACCAAGTGAGAGTCTTTGGGAATTTCGAATCAATCCTGACACGAAACTTTGGGAGAAATGGGAAAAAATTATTCCGCCATTTGTTTTCAATCCGAATATGTCGTTCTTCGACATGCTCGTGCCAACATGTGACACTGTGCGATTTGGATATGTCACTGAGATTCTCTTCAAAGCTGGTCATCCTGTGATGTTCACTGGTGAGACTGGTGTTGGAAAGTCTGTCATTGCTAAGCAGATACTCACAAAATTATTAAAAGAAGGTTCAATCATTCCAGTTGTGTTGAATTTCTCAGCACAAACAAGCAGCACAAGAACGCAAGAAATGATTGAAGCTCGATTGGAGAAGAGAAAGAAGACTTTGTTGGGAGCTCCCATAGGAAAGAAGTTAATCTTCTTCATCGATGATGTAAACATGCCAAAACTTGAAACTTATGGCGCGCAGCCACCGATAGAATTGCTTCGTCAGTTCCTTGACTTTAAGGGTTTGTTTGATCGTGATAAAATGTATTGGAAGAATATCGCTGATGTCATATTGGGAGCTGCTTGTGGACCAGCTGGTGGTGGAAGGAACCCATTAAGTCCACGTTTCGTTCGTCACTTTTCTCTGCTTTCATTTCCATCACCAAACAGTGCAACACTTGTAGGAATCTTCAGTGGAATTATTGGCGGATTCTTCTCTGACTTTTCAAAGCCTATTTGGAGTCTTGCAGAGCCGGTGGTTCATGCTGCAGTTTCGATGTATGAGAGAATCTCTCAAGAACTTCTTCCAACACCTGCAAAGTCTCACTATGTCTTCAACTTGCGAGATCTCTCGAAATGTGTTCAAGGAATCCTTCAAGCTGACACAGCTTCGTATACAACTCAACTTCAGATTCTCAGACTTTTCCATCATGAATCGATGAGAGTTTTTCACGATCGTCTCGTTAATGAAGACGACAAAAGTTACTTTAAGAAGCTTTTGAAGGAAATTTCAATGAAGTATTTCGAAACAAATGTTGCTAAAGATGGTGAAGTTTTAATGTTTGGAGATTTTATGATTTTCGGCCAAGCACGTGAAAATCGAGTTTACGAAGAAATCAAAAACATTGAAAAGCTGAAAAATATTTTGAATGATTATCTTCAAGATTACAATTCGTCGAGTGGAAAAGCAGAAATGAATCTTATTTTGTTTCAAGATGCAATCGATCACATTTTAAGATTGACGAGACTCCTTCGATCTGAACGTGGTAATGGTTTACTCGTTGGATTAAGTGGAATGGGAAAGCAATCAATAACACGAATTGCATCACATATTAATGGATATCAATGCATGCAAATTGAGTTAATTCGTGGATATGATCAATCTTCATTTCGTGAAGATCTCAGAAAGAATTACACAAACGCTGGTGTCAACAATAATCCAACAACCTTCCTTCTAAACGACACACAAATTGTTAAAGAAGAATTCCTTGAAGACATCAACAACGTTTTGAACTCGGGCGATGTTCCAAATCTTTTTGAAGGTGATGAATATGAGAAAGTCATTCTCAACACGAGAGTTGCTTGTATTGAAGCTAATCAAGAGAAGGAAACGACACGAGATGCAATTTTTGAGTTTTTTATTTCACGTGTTCGAGCGAATCTTCATGTCGTGATTTGTATGAGTCCAATCGGTGACGCTTTTCGTAGACGTTGTCGAATGTTTCCATCATTGGTGAATTGTTGCACAATTGATTGGTTTGTTAAATGGCCGAAAGAAGCTCTTTATTCAGTTGCAATTGGTTCATTAGAATCGATTGCTGAAGATGGAAAGCAATGCGAAAATTTGACGACAATTTGTGTTAAGATTCATGAAAGTGTTGAAGAAGCTTCGGAGAGATATTACGAAGAAACAAAACGTCGTTTCTACACAACACCAAGCAGCTACTTAGAACTATTGAAACAATATCATTCGCTGTTCAAACGACGAGTCGATTCAATTATTGCGAAACGAGATCGAATTGCAAATGGATTGGGAAAGATTCTTGAAACCAATGAGATTGTTAAAGTAATGGGAGAAGAACTTAAAGTAATCGTTCCGATTATTGAACAGAAATCAAATGAAATGAAAGTAACAGTTGCAAAGTTGGAGAAAGATTCTGCTCAAGTTGATGCGATTAAGAAGATTGTCGCACAAGATGAAGCTGAGGCTAAGATAAAAGCAGTTGAAACTCGAGAATTGGCTGATGATGCAGCAAAAGATCTGGAAACTGTCATGCCACAACTTAGAACAGCTCAAGACGCCCTCAAAGCACTCAACAAAAGTGACGTTAATGAAATTCGCGTCTTTCAAAAGCCACCAAAACTTGTGCAGTTTGTCATGGAAGCTGTTTGCATTCTTCTTGGTGCTAAACCAGATTGGAACACAGCAAAACAAATCATGTCTGATGTCAATTTCCTTAAGAAACTTCAAGATTACGATGCCAACAACATTCAAGATGCGACAGTCAAAAAGCTTAAACCTTACATTGATCATAAAGATTTCCAACCAGCGATTGTTGAAAAGGTTTCCAAAACAGCACGATCGATGTGTTCGTGGGTGATTGCAATGAATAAATACGCTGAAGTGTACAAAGATATCGAACCAAAAGTAAGGAAACGTGACGACGCTGAGTATGAGTTAAAGCAAGTCTTGTTGATTCTCAAAAAGAAACAAAATGAGTTGGCAGAAGTTGAATCAAAGATTCAAGTTTTGAAAGATGATTTGGATAGGAAACAGAAAGAAATGCTTGAAATTCAGAATCGTTTTGATTTAAACAGCGTTCGATTGAATCGTGCTGGTCGTTTAACTGCTGCTTTAGTTGACGAGGAAGTTCGTTGGCGTGAAACCGTGAAAAGTTTGAATGAAGAGTTGGTTGGCGTTCCTGGTGATGTTTTAGTCGCGTCAGCTTGCATCGCTTATCTTGGTGCATTCTCCATCGATTACCGTCGTCGATTATCATCAGAATGGATGGAAGAATGTCACAAATTGAACATTCCAAGCAGCTCCACGTTCTCTTTAATTCATTGTCTTGGCGATCCTTATGAAATGCGTGAATGGAACACTCAAGGCTTGCCACGTGACGAAATTTCAATAGAAAATGGAATTATCGTCACACAATCTGTTGTTAATCGTCGATGGCCTTTAATGATCGATCCACAAGAACAAGCAAATCGATGGATTCGAAATATGGAAAAGGAGAACAATGTGATAATAACGAAGCAATCAGATCCGAATTTAATGAGAATTCTTGAAATGGCGATAAGACAAGGATCGTCAGTTTTACTAGAAGAGTTGGGTGATGTTATTGATCCGTCATTGCAACCAGTTTTGGCATGTCAAGTTATCAATGCAGCAGGTGGAAGACTCATGATGAGATTTGGTGACGTTGACATTGACTTTGATCCCAACTTTAAACTTTACATGACAACAAAGTTGACAAATCCGCATTATTTACCAGAAGTCTGCATTCAAGTGACACTCATCAACTTCCTTGTCACTGAAACTGGTCTTGAAGATCAACTTCTCACCGATGTTGTTCGAATTGAACTACCGGAAATGGAGAAACAAAGAAGTGATTTGATTGTCAGCATAAATGAAGATAAGCAGCAACTCTTACAACTTGAAGATAAAATTCTGAAACTTCTCTTTTCATCACAAGGAAAGAACATTCTCGATGATGAAGAACTTGTTGACACATTAAATGAGTCTAAAGAGACTTCAATTGTCATTGAGTCGAGACTTGATGATGCTGAAAAGACGGAAGAGATGATAACGATTGAAAGAGAGAAATATCGACCATTAGCAGCGCAAGGTGCTGTGTTGTTCTTTGTTGTGACTTCATTAGCTGAAATCGATCCAATGTATCAATTTAGTTTGAATTATTTCTCGCAAGTCTTTTGCAGTGTCATTTCTAATCAAAGGAATGAAAAATCAAATTCCTTTGACATCCGATTAGAATATTTAATGAAACAAGAGACGCGTTCAATCTTTTCAAACATTTCTCGAGGACTTTTCGAACGTCACAAATTAATTTTCAGTTTTCTTCTTGCAACTGCCATTGAGAAGCATGTTGGAAATCTAACAGAAGTTGAAATTGATTTCTTGCTTCGTGGACCGATTGGAACGAAAGCAGAAATTCGTCCAAAGCCAAATAAACTTCATCAGTACAGTGACAAGCAGTGGATCAGTTGTCTTCATCTTCAACATGAATTCAAAGAGTTTGAAACGTTATCTGAGTATCTTAATCAATCACAAAAAGTTAAAATCCAACTTGAGGATTATCGAGAAGATTTTAATTTAAATCAATCAAGAAACTGGAATGAAATTTTGTCACCATTCAAGAAGTTGATGTTGGTGTCAGCTTTGAAACCAGAAATGTTAGTGACAGCAATCAATTCGTACGTTCGAAATATTCTTGGACGAGAATTCACTGAATCGTCAGCAACTTCAATCTCTTCTGTTTTTCAAGACACATCACCAATCACGCCACTTATATTTGTATTGTCAACAGGTTCAGATCCAATGAATTCACTTCAGAAGTTTGCACAAGAAAAAGAATTCGACACGAAACTTTTTTCAATTTCTCTTGGACAGGGTCAAGGCCCGGCAGCTGAAAGGTGAGTTGAGAATTCTTCACTTTAATTGAATAATTATTAATTAACTTTCATGTTAATAGCTTGTTGAATAAAGGAATGAAGTTCGGATATTGGATATTCCTACAAAATTGTCATTTAGCTACTTCCTGGATGCCAAACATGGAGACGATAGTAAGAAACATGTCATTAGGAGATGTCAAAGTTCATCCAGATTTCCGACTTCTTTTATCTTCAATGCCTTCAAAAACATTTCCTGTTAGTGTCCTACAAAATTCTGTAAAATTAACCAACGAACCACCGAAAGGTATTCGAGCAAATCTCATGAGATCACTGACCGATGGCTCCATTAAAGAAGAATCCTTTGAAGTTCACATTCTGGGTAACAAATGGAGAAAAATGTTGTTCGGAATTTGCATGTTTCACGCAATCATCCTCGAGAGAAGGAAGTTTGGTAGTCTTGGTTTCAACATATTGTACGAGTTTAATGAGAGCGACCGTGAATGTGCCTTGAGGACATTTGAAATGTTTGTTGACAGGGAAACTCAAAAGCTGATTCCATGGCAAGCACTTGAATACATCAACGGTGAAATAACCTACGGAGGTCGTGTAACTGATGAATGGGATCAACGATGTTTGAAAACAATTTTGAAAACATTTTCATCAGATAAAATTCTCGAACCTGGTTACGCATATAGTAAAAGTGGAATTTACAAATGTCCTGAAGCGAGATTGTTGAGTGATTTCAAACATTACGCAGAAGAGTTGCCATACAACGACATACCGGAGATTTTCGGCATGCATGATAACGCAAATGTTGTTTTTCAAACAAAAGAAACTCAATTTTTTCTTTCAACACTCTTAACATCAGGTGGAAGTGGATCAAGTGCAGTTGGAAACGATGAAATCGCTCTTGAAGTCATTCGAGATATAAAAAATTCATTGGTGAAAGTTTTAAGTTTAGAGAGCATGAAATCGAATTTAATGGACTTGGATGAGAAAGGAAGACCAGCACCTTTGACTACTGTTCTGCTTCAAGAGGTTGAAAGATTTAACAAATTGTTGAAAAATGTTCACAACAGTTTGAACGATGTGGAGAAGGCGATTAAAGGTCTTGCAGTGATGTCTGAGTCATTGGAAGCAGTTTATGATGCTTTTCTTATTAACACAGTTCCAACTTTGTGGTCACAAAAAGGCGGATTTTTATCAACAAAAACTCTTGCAAATTGGGTGAAAGATTTCGCAATGCGAATTGAATTCATTCAAAGTTGGATTAATTATGGTCAGCCACAATCATCATGGATTTCTGGTCTCTTCTTTCCTCAAAGTTTTCTCACTGGAGTTCTTCAAACTCATGCTCGCAAATACACGCTTCCAATCGATTCTCTTCGATTTGATTTTCAAGTCTTGGACAAAACGTTGAATCAACAGAAAATCTTTGAATTACGACAAGGAAATTCTGGTGAAAGTTCTGCTTTGTATGACGATTTAATTCACCCTGAAAATGGAATTTACGTTCATGGATTGTTTATTGAAGCTGGTAAATGGGACGGTAAGAAAGGTGGACTTTGTGAACCAAACCTTGGTCAATTGGCGGCACCTTTGCCCGTCTTATGGTTGAAGCCGTCATTAGAAGTTGAAGTTGGAAATCGTTATGAATCTCCGCTTTACAAGACACCAATTCGTGCTGGAGTTTTATCAACAACTGGCCACTCTACGAACTTTGTTTTGTCAATCTTGTTGGACTCTCAGAAGCCACCGGATTTTTGGATTCTTCGTGGAACTGCGCTTGTTACACTTTTGACGGAATAAATGATGCTAAATTGTATTTAATAATATATTTCAATACAATAAATTCGAAAATGACTGAAATTAAGCAAACTTTTAATGACCTTTCAGTCACTTAATCACAGCACGCCATTGATAGGTGAGAAAGTTCCAGTCATGAATTTTTATGACTGGTTTGGGATTTGATTGCCTTATGGAAGATTTTTTTGCTGAACTGCTTCTTATTCTCAGCACCAATTATGACCAGTTTATTAAGTTTTTTCATGTGGTGAAATCAAAAATTAAATTGGTTGGGAATTTGAGTCATAAAAGTTTTTGAAAGATGTAATTTTAAGTTGGCAACAATCGTGTTGGTAAATGAAATAAATATCGACGAAATTGCTGTTTCCAAACGATCACAATTACTGTAAGTTCACTTCGTAAAATGAAGATTTTTCCAAAAAAGAATGAGGCAAGAAGCGAATTATTGAAACAGTTTCAGATATTAAATAAATAATTCGTAAAGTTTTTCAACTACTTTTTGTTAGTGAATTGATTTTCAACCGTTGCTCTATCTCAGGGTTATCTCAACATTGAAATGTTTGTCTTAGGTCAGTAGCACTAATCAAAAAATCTTTTTAATACAAAAAAATTGTTTGTTGGCCTTAAGAAGGCAAAAAAAAACAATTTACGCTTCGATTTCTCGAATCAACTTCATCAAGTAATTAATAAATATTTCACATGATTTTGTTTCTTGTTTTTAGTTGCTTTAAATCTCTGAAAGCATCAACACCTCATTTCTCCACGATAAATTTAAAAGAAGTTTTTATTTTCTTCAAGGTTGAATTCTACTTTTGTTCATTCTTTCAAGTAATTCTCTTAACATTAATGTGAAGCGTGCAAATAAAAATATTTTCCATCACACTTCCCAAAAACGGAAGTTAAATAAAATTGCGTGATTATAAAGTCAATGTTTGTATTCATAAGCCGCATAGTTTGAGTTTGAGAACATTTTTTCTTGAAGAAAATATAGCGAAGTTTGAGTAAAAATCTTCATTAGTTGTCGAATCTTCAAAGAAAGAAGTTCTGAGTTTTCTTGCTCTTTAAGCCAAATATTAATTCTCATTGTGCTGATGATGATGTCAGTGACGTCAATAAGGTGACTAAAAACAAGCACATTAAATAAAAATTATCATTCAAATGTTATTCTTAGGTGTTTAGTGATTGTTTTTGCTACAATTTTAAAAATAACCAAAGCACAAATACCCGGCATTGGTGGATGTCCAAATGTTCATGTCGTGCAAAATTTCGATTTGCATCGTTACCTTGGACTTTGGTATGAAGTGAAAAAGTATCCATTCATATTTACACTTGGTGGCAAATGTATCACGGCTGAGTATGGATTAAATGCTAATGGAACAGTTTCAGTCTTCAACAAACAGATTAGAAATGGGAGAGAAGAAACGATTCTTGGTTCTGCTAGAATAATTCGATCCGGTGTTTTAGGCGTAACATTTTCGAATGTTCCATGTGAGTGATTATTATCTGCTGATATTAATCTTCTTACTTTGAATTGACGCAACCTTTATTCTAGTTCAAACGGAAGCAAACTATAATGTTTTAGATACCGACTATCAAAGTTATGCTGTCGTTTACTCTTGTAATAGTTTCCTGAGTCTTGTTAATGGGAGAATTGTTTGGATATTAACACGAACAAGATTTCCTTCACAAGCAGTTATCGATAAAGCATATCAAGTGATGAGATCGAACGGCTTATCAACGTCATATTTGGCGTCTACTGACAACACCGATTGTCCCGATGAACTGCCAAATGGTATTGATAGCTTTCGCTATTAATACCGCAATTTGGATGAGAAGAATCTCACGTTTTATCCTTGAAATCGTATAACGAGTGAGTGGGTGTATGTAATAAATTGTATATATCGAATAAATATTCTTTATTAATCATCAAATAAAAATAGAACTTTATATTTGGACCTTAGCAACTGAAAATGTGACCATTTTTGTATAGCAAATTTCATGTACATGCAAATGTTAACAGTAAACTTATTAAGCCATTAAATCAAATGAATGCAAACTGTTAAATGACTAATTTATGTGTTTGAATCGACACTCAATAGAACTTCTATCTAGTAGTTAAATTAGAGTAATTTCCACTAACCCCGAATAATTTTTTTTGGGTGTTTAAAAAAGATTTTATTTTCAATCTCAAGGTAAAAACTTTTATTGTGTAAAATTTATAAAGTGAAGATAAACAAATAAATATATATGAAGTTTTGAAACTGTCAAAATGGATTATTCACTGCCTGTATCTCATCGAGTCGATATCATCAGCATATTTTTGCTACAAATCATAGAAAAGAATATTTCCGGAAATGTTTCTAAAGTGAGTTTCATCAATTTCTTATGTAACATTCAACGCAAGTGACCTTTGATACTTTTGGTTTTTATTCCTTTGTTGTTCAGTATTATTTATGGACTGATTTGCATTATCTATTGTGCTACATCTACTGAAGTACCTGGCATCGGATATTGCCCACGAGTTAATATCATTCAGAATTTTGATGTGCCAAGGTTCATGGGCAGATGGTACGAAATATTAGCTTATCCAAACAAGCTTACGTTAGGAGGAAGTTGCGTGTATTCAGTTTTTTCTTTTGGACAAAACAATGGAATTTCAATTTATAGCAAGCAAAATATGCTCGGAAAAGAAAAACAACTTTTAGGATCAGGTGCCATTGTAAGCGACGGCGTTTTGGGAATAACTTATCCAGCATATCGTAAGACTATAAAGTTTTTTTTTTCATATTTTATGATTCAATTTCTCTGCCTTTTTTCTTTTTTCAGCTAAAGCTAATGCATATTACAATATCATAGATACAGATTATGAAAATTATGCAGTCGTGTTTAGTTGCAACAATTATTGTGGGTAAGTAATTAGAGTTATTAATGAAAATTACAAGACCATCAAAGATAATGTGTTTTAAAGTTTAATCAATGGGCAAAGCTTGTGGATTTTGTCAAGGAGAAATATTCTAGAACCTCAATTTGTTGATAGAGCAATGGCAATTGTTTCTGCAAATCAATTAAACAGAATGTTTTTGAAGCCAACCACCCAGAATTGCATGGACAGGCCATTTCAATAATTATTGCTGGATTGATAATGAGACTATCAACATTTACTAAATGTGCACATATCGGATGTATGGAATTATTTTGATGTACAACTAAAAACCAAATTACCTATTAAAATAAAATGGCATTGCATGAATCGTTGAATATTTTATTTTGTTCCCAATTTTCAGCTCGTTAAGACATGAGACTGAACGTTAAGAATTTTATTTTTCTCACAATTGTTTTGAACATATCTAAAGTGCAATCAAAACTTAAAGTACGTCATCGTTATAGGGAAAAGTATGCTTGTAAGGGATTTAATGTGATGGAAAATTTTGATGTTTCAAAATTTGGTGGCACGTGGTTTGAGATTTTAGCTTATCCCAACTTATACACTAGTGATGGGAAATGTGTTTTGTCAACGTATGCAGAAATATCCTTCGGAATATTTGATCTTTACGTGAAGTTTGTTGATTCTTTGGGAAATGAAATGAAATCTTTGGGGAGGGCAGAATATGAAAAGCCTGGAATTTTATCAGTGAAGTTTCCTTCATCGCGTAAGTATTCAAAACACTACATAATGAAACTTCAAATTATGAATTTTACTTTTATAGCGATAGGTGATGCTCTTTTTCACATAATAAGCACCGATTATGAAAATTATGCTGTTGTTGGTGCTTGCAATAAATTCACTGGACTTTACCGTGGCAACAATGTTTGGATACTTAGTCGAACATCCTATTTAGATCCAAGATATCTCGCATCTGCTTTAACTGATATAAATAATAATGGTTTGTCTATTACTTATCTGAAGTGGACACCTCAAGTTTGTGGCTTTTCTTCTATTTTTTAATAACGAATCAATAAAAATGATTTAAAAATATTTAACGAACTTTTGATATTCAAATTGATCCGGATTAAATATTTCTTTTTGTGATCCGACTGTAAAAATGTAAACAAACAGAAAATGCAGTCTTTAAACAGAAAGCAGTGTTTATAAAATTTTTAAAAGAAAAAGTGTACTAATAAAATGAATTGGTGTCATCTTTGTGGTTCTGCAGATCATGTGTCTGTGACAGAAGCAGAGTTTGTTCCATTAGCACAGAAAATTTGTGAAGTGAGTGATTTTTAAAAAACTTGAATTAAATTTGGCTGATTTTTTTTTTAATTTTAAGATTTCATTGGATGATAATCTTCAAACATGCATGGATTGTAATATATTTCTATATCAAATTCAAGTATTCATTAAAAAAGCTCGAAATGTTGCAAATATGATGGCAACATTGAAGAAAGAAATGAGTTCGACTCAATCAAAAAATGAAATTAATTCAACAGTTACTGAAAAATCAGCTGAGCAAAGCTGCTCAATTAACAATCAAGAACAGTGCATAAAAAATGAAAGTATACCAAATATTGAAGAAATATATGAAGAAGTGGAAACAATTTATGAGGAAGAAGTGATGGAAATTAATGATGAAGTTAAAAATGACGACGTTGATCCTGATTCCATATCCCAAGAACCTGACCAAGATGACGATGAGAAAATGTTTACCTTCAAGTGTCATGTTTGTGATGCTCCTGAATTTAAAAAAATGTTTCAACTCTCTGCTCACACTCGATCCAAGCACAACGCATTGCCACAAGTGAAATGTTATTGTAACAAATATTTGTCAACAATGAGAGGATTACAACGACACAGAGCGAAACACTTTCCCCGCAAGACTGATATAAAGTGCATCGAATGTAGACAAATATTCAAAACAAAAGCTGGATTAGATAAACATTTTGCAAAGCGCCATGGGCCAAACAAAAAGTTTTTCATTTGTTCTCGTAAGTTTAAATTAGAATAATATTGCGTCGTATCGACTTTGTAATCACTGCAAGTTATTATTTTAGAATGTGGAAGAAATTTCTGTAACGCAAAAGTTCTTGAACGACATGAGATAACACATGAGTTGCCTTCTGAATTAAGAAGAAACTTTGCATGCTCTGAATGTAAGAAATGTTTCATCAGTAATCAAGCAAGAAGTTTTCATTTTGCCAAATACCACGAGAAAATATTGTCGTATTTCTGTGAAATCTGCTTCAAGGTAAACTCTCAATTGTTTAAATGGATTATAAAGTTAAAATATTTAAAGGAACTTTTATTCCAGGGATTTTACACAAAGACAAGCTTAACATCTCACGAAGAAACTCATAAGCCAAGTGAAAGTGTCGTATGTGACTTATGCAATGGAAGTTTTAAGACATTAAAATACATGAAGAAGCATCGCAGCTCACATTTTCTGCCACTTCATGGAAGTTATTTCTTATGTGACATTTGTCATAAGCAATTTAGAAAAAAGTCTTTACTAAGGGCACACATGCTTGTTCATAGTAAAACCGCAGAACATACTTGCAATATTTGTCTACGATCCTTTAAGAAACGAGCTTATCTCAACACTCACATGGGTAAGCACATCATTTCATTTGTCAAAGCTTTGCTTATTTATTCAATTTTATTTCATACAGTAACACATACTGGAGAGAAGAAATTTCAATGCATGTTTTGCAATCGAATGTTTGGTGATGCTGGAAATTGTAGAAAACATAAGCTGAGGGATCATCCTGGAGAGTTGGCAGAATATGAAGAAAGAAATGGGAAGCGAGGTGTTCCGAATACAATTTTTATTGACATTCAATGTGAATGAAAATTTGAATTTTTTATTGATGAATTAAATAAAGCAAATGAAGTCATTTTAATTTCTGAAGAATTTGTCGATATTTTTTTCCTGTCAATCCTTTCATTGATTGACTTTGAATAAATGATAGACATTAATAAGACGATTATGAAATGTAACAGCAGAAACGATAATTTATGGCTGAAAATCAACTACCATCGGATTATTCAGTTTTTTCTTTGCTTCTGATCAAATGGATGAATATTGCGGAAAATTTTACAAATCATCTACATAAATGGATTCAACGGAGGAAAAGTTTTGCTTCCTTTTCAACTTATATTCAATTTCATCGGTTCACTGCTGCTCTTAACAATGTGCCATGATTTTGAAAACATTTTGTATTATAAATAATCTTGCGATGCGTTATTTTAAAGCAATATTGTGAGGACGATGTTGATGTCGCTTCGTAATTATGTTTTTTTTTCTAAAGACAGGATTTTCTTGTTGATGTTTAATGAAGCAAGATGTTGGAAAGAAAGCAAGTCGATTCGACTTTCCGTCTGTTCCCACTACCAATAAAAAATGAAACATTTTCTCAGTTTAATCTTCGGATTTTTCTTTGCTAAGCTCTTTATAAATGAAATCAAACTGTATGTTATAAATGATATCACGCAGTCGATGTTTTATCTCAAGACTCGGGCAATTAAATGTAGACAATGACGTCATTTTCAAACACTTCATTAATATTTTATTCCTTCTGAAACATGTTCATCTTAAAAGCTCAGCAGAATATTAGAAAACATATTAAGCTCAAAGAAAAGCAAAGATATTTAATTTTGAATAGCAAGTAAAAAACAAGAAGAAACAATTTACTTGTATGGGGGTAGCGATTAATGATCCATCTCGTTTAATTTGTTTTCCAACGTAGATTCTTTCTTTCATTCCTGTTCTTCAGTTAAACTCGCACCTTGAATCTTGGTATTAGATTTCTATTTGTTTATAAAGTACTTAAAGCTTCTTTTATGATTAATGTGCTGCTTTTTGCAAGTTTATGATCCCATAGGAATGTTTTTTAAGTCTTATTAAAATGTTGCTTGTTCTATTTGCTTTTTATAAAGTCAAGTCTGCAGACTTTTGATTTTTATTAGCGTTTTTTTCTTCATCACAAGAATCAAGAGAAGAAAGACGTGTTCTGCCTTAGGTCAGTTTTATTTTGACCGCTGGAAAATACTCGGAAAAAATGTAAATTAATTTTAATGCTCAGATTTCTGATTTAAACTAAAAATGAAATAAAAAGTTGAATTCATCAGTTCAAACGACTCAGGGCAGAGTTATTGAAGACAAAGAAGAAAATCCCGTTTTGATTAACTTTTAATGATTTGTAAGTTAATTATGAAACTTATTGAGGCAAATACAGAAGACATCAAAAGATTCATTATTTTGCATTCTTGAATAAACTTGAAAATATTCCAGCATAATTATCTATTAATTTAATTTGCTGTTGCTTGACATGAGAAAAATGTTCATAAACCTAATTTTATTCAAATTATCTTTATAAGAATTCTCAAAACCACAATCAATAGAATTAACAATATACGCATTAAATTGCGTCATGTGGGATTTCATGTCACATCAATTAATTTTCAACAAGACTTCAGGGATAACAACGATAACGATTGTCAGTAATCAATCAACTGAAACTCCGATCAGCGATAAAAATGCAATCCTAACGAAAAGCAAATTTATTCTCTAGTGATTGATAATGTAATTTGCAAATCCATATGGGGGCTGAACGCTGAATAAAGCCAAGTACTAATGATAAAATACTTTTCAAGGAATTGACTGATTTCATCAATCTATACGTTTGGTTAAATTGGATTAGGAATTCAGAAAAAAAAACGAATAAAGAAAAAAATTCATTGAATTTCAAATTTACGCTCATTAACAGCCAGCTCAACTTCTTTTTTGTAACAAAATTGATTTCAAATAAATCTCAGTGGATTAAATATTTTCGTTTTCATTCTGAAGCATTGCATTGCAAGAATTTATTTGGTGTGTGTAGATATTTTTAAAGCAAGTTTATGGCGGTATTTCCAACCCCATATGTATGATTCATATATCGCCCACACACATTTATTCTAGTGACGATGATGAAGTCAAGTTGTATATACAATTAAGTAAAAATGTTAGCACGCAAGCACTTACGAATTTTTGAGTAACATAATGAATGAGTTTTCATGTTTAAACATGTGTTCAAAGCATTAGCAGTAAATGTGTAATAAATATTTTGGTGAAAATATTTCGATTCTTTTTTATTGAATAACTTAGGGTATTTCAAGTTTGATAAAATCATCAAAATTCAAGCAAGAAGAAAAAAAAACCATCGAGATAGAAAATTAATGAACCATATCAAAAACCCTCTTAAGGACAATTGTTATTCGTTTCTGCTTCTTGTGAAATTTGAACGCGATAAGATGGCAAAAAAAAGAATTTCCATGATTTTTATCTCTCTTTCTGTAGTATCGTCACACAGCGGGATGACTGTTCCCTACAGTAAGGTAGTACTTAACTAGGATACATAAGATTCAGCAACAAATTATCTGCGAATTTAGGTGGGATTAGCTATACATTTTTCCAATGAAAACAAAATTGACATCACTGATGTGGAAGCTTAAAGGGAAAACAAGTTAGAAAATTGGAAACGAAATCATTTTAATCTGGAGAATTCAATCTTGAAAAAGTTTAGGAATGGAAATAAGACTAAACAAGTTTATTGCGAAAAAACGAAGAAAGAAGAAGAATTTCGGAAAATTTTAAAAGAAAATTCACTGATAATAAAGTTTTTGTCTTCTTTGTCTTATTCTTTGAACTCTGGTCATCGTCGTTTTATTCTTTTGGCATTAAAACATCATAAAAATTGTTGGAAGTTTTTATTAACGAATGATAAGGGAGGAAAACGTCAAACCGATTGCTCCCAAGAAAGTTACAAAGTAAGTAGAAGAAAATTTCATTTCGTAATTATGCTCCATTGGCTGAATGTTATCAATTTAATTTCCAAAGTTTTTTTTTGCTTTTTCTTTTTATTATTGAGTGTGCATGAAATCTTGAAGTAGAAGAAAGATTGGAGTATAAAAGAAAATCATAAAGAAAATATCTCTAACACAATGACTTCAAAGTTTTTCTTTCTTTGACGAGATTTTTTTCTTTCTTTCTTATTTTTTCATTGTGGGAAAAATATGAGAAATTCAACAGCATGATGTTTGTGATAGAATTCCATTTAGCTATATGAATGTATGTATTATGAAATCATACATTCAAATTGAGTTAAAGCACAACGAAAATACTTTACAATGTTAAAGTTAAACGTCTTACTTTCTTTCATATTTATGAGTAGCAAGGGAAAAAAATAAAAATGCGGCACATAACCATCAGCTAATCATAGGAAATCATAACGACATGGAAAAACAACCCATACTCAAATCATTTGATTAATGATGCAACAAATCTGTGTACAAGCTCAGAAATGGTTCACGACTCAATGCAGTGTGGTGAAAAAAACGAAAGAAGATAACAATTTCCCCATGATTTTTATTCGAATGATTTATGACTTTTGTTCATCGGCTGTTTGCTGCTGTGCATACCACAATAACATCAAATCACAAGCTTGAAACTAAGATTTAATTACTATAATTTAGTGGGAGTAAATGAAAAGTTAATTATATTATTACCTCTGTATGTTTTTCATTACACATGAGACAATTAAAATAAATTGGCGTGTTACGCTTGTTCTTGCGACACGTCATGTGAAACAATGTGAGTCTGTTTTATTTTAATTACACATCTTGATTTCTGGTTCTGTTTCGCATATAACACATTCTGCTATCATATATCTGTCTATGTCTTTTTATAGATGACTCTTATTCGGAAAGGTTTTTTCTGTTGACAAAAGCATTTCGTAGCGAGAGTAATTCATAAAAAATGCTTTTCTGTCGGATTTTTCACTTAACATTAAACTCTAGAGATGAATGTCGACGATTTATTATTCTTTTCATTTCATCATTTCATAACAAGCAAGAGGGAGTTTAATTGAATGGATGAATAACATTATGAGTTTTTTTTATGGAGAAATGATGAATGAATATTTCTATCCATAATGTGAAATAAAGAAATATTTTTATGAAAAAAGTTTATTTGTGGGGGAGTAACCGGGAAAAGTTTTCGTTTTGATGAAAATATGCATGATGAGTTTTTGAAGTAAATTTTTGAGTCTAAACTTTGTCTGTTAGCATGTCTGCTACATTTATTCGGATGAAAGGGTTGAGGCATCTACGCAAACTTAATTAAAACTAATTATTCACATAAATATTTTGCTTCGAAATAAGAATTTTTCTGTGTGCATTGAACGTGGTTGAAACTTGAATTTTTCTCAAACGTCAAAGTCCTCACATCCTTTGAATTATCTTTCATTTTAACAAATAACAAGTCTTTAGGAAAATTGAGAGAGAATTCTTTCAATTAACATTACAAATGGAAACTATTTATCGATGTAATTGGCTTAGCACCTTTAACCACTTAAACACATACATAAATACTCTTTCGAAATGGAATCTCAAATGTGCTGTAATTATCGACAGAGGGAATCGAAACTTAATCATAAAGAGATTGAAAAATTCTTTAATTTCATTTTCTCTCAATTATTTAATGAGTTTTGTGGTTCACGATAACGATGACGACGACGACACTGCTGGGATCGATTAAGCTTAAAGTGAGCTGCAAGTTACGACTTGTAAGTTTGTGAGTCTCGGGATAGAAAATGACGACGGTGGCAATGGAAAGCGAAACAAGAAGCGAGGGATAAAAAGTGTTTATACTTGTATAAAGAATTATGTGAGACACAAGACGAAGAGACGAGAAAGAAATAAAATGCTTTTTAAACAGATTGCGAGAACTCGTTTTGTGATGAACTTCTTGCGTTCTCCACGAACTTATGTTGAACACAACACAAACACACACACACAACTGCACAACCTGACACATTGTTGAACCAGAAAGAAGCATGTGAAGTAAAAATTGATTTAAATTATGGGTTATAAACCAAAAAGGTTCTGTTAGTCGATGTAAGAAGTCTCAAAACATTTTCGTGATGTCGATTAAACCTTAAATACACATCTTAGACTCTTTCTGACCATAGGTCTTGATGCAAACAGATTTTCTTCTTCTTCTTCTTCTTCTTGTTCCTTGACTAGTGCCTAAAGCGGAAATAATCAATTTAACCATGCGGCTTTTGTGATGACTCAAATGTCAAATAAACACTTTGATGAGCCAACCATCCACCTCACGATTTGATTTCATTAACGATAGCTAAATTTAACAGCTACAAGAATGGTCAGGTTGAAAAATGTTCCTATAAACGTTGTTTCAATTAATTCACAGAATCACATTATTATGCTTTCTCCTGACTCTTATGAATATTTTATGTTCAACAGTAGGAACAACATACATATCAGAATTCATACACCTTAGCAAGAATTATTTGCTTTACTTCCGTTTTTTTTATAAATGAAAACCTTTTTCTAATGAGTAGAAATGCCACCGGAAATTGTAATAAAATAAACGTCGTAAGCGGAAGTTTTTTGTACAACTTCGACAAGGAAGCTAATCAATTATTGAACTGCACAGCGTTGTATAAAAATCGCTGAAGCCTTTGATGTTTTCATTTCAGTATAACTTTCTATAGTGAATGTAAAAAACTGAAGTCTCATAAAGAGGAAAAAGAAAGGGAAGAAGTTTTTCACGAGTCTTTTGTTACATTATTGCAGCGGGGAAAAAAGTTTTCTTTGTTATATCAAAATGTTCTGTTATGAAAAAATCTTTCCGAACATCTTCAATCTTCTCTAGTTTCTGAATTATGTAAAAAGATGAATCATGAATAACATGCATTCTCATAAGTAGGAATGATTGCTGAATCCCCTTCGTTGAACCATTAATACATGTTGCAAACATTTTAATCGTTCAGCGAGTAACATCTACAGAAGAAACATTTTCATGGTTGATACTCGTCCATGAGAAAATTCTCGACACGGACGTTGAGCCCTTAGATAAAGACAGTGTGATGTTGATTTTCTCATGATTAATGATAGTACAAATCAAATCACTTGCAGCGAAGATTTCCCGATGTCTGTCTTCAGCAAGAAAGGGGAGAATGAGAGATGGAAAAAATAAGAAAAATGACACAGAAAAAAGTTTATGCTATCCATAAACGATGGAAATGATTTGTTTTGTCATTTCCTTACTTTTGTTTCTTCATTGTGAGGAAAAACGTGAAAAATATTGTCCGAAATGAGTTTTGAACTTTTATTAAATTTATTAATCGAAGCGAAAGCGGAAAACGTCGGAGTTGATGATCCGAGAAAAAAAGATGAAAATTAATTGATTCAGTCTTGTCATTATTTTGAATCGTTTAGCAGAAGTAAAAGCAGTAAGAGAGCGGATCCTCAAGTAATCTATCTTGTGGAATTAAGACACGAGATGAGACCGGTGAACATCATAGAACGACATCATCACATGCCTCGATACAAATTTTCAGCAGACGTGCAGTGCGATGAGAAATTTGTTTGTTCTCTTTACATCATCGCCGTGTTGTTTGTTGTCATGAAAGATGTCGAGGAAAAATTTCGTATCGAAGAAATTTATTTTTATGAATCATTTAATGTGCTTTCTGCACCAAGGGGGAAAATGGAAAAAGAAAAAGTGATGAGAAAGTTTCGACTGTGCGCTGATGACACCCAAGATGAAGAATTTTATTGAAAATATAAAAAAGAGAAAATAACACCATAATCTCTGTTTGCTTTAAGTCTGCTTGTCTTTCTCAGCATGAGAACGGAAACAGGAACTAATGATGAAGATGAGATAGCTCGAAGTGATATTTCTGACGCTTTTCCTTTAACATAATGAAACTTTTGCCCTTTGGATATCCATCAGTTATAATTTTCCTGTCTTAGCAAATGAACCTATTGTTAGGCTCACCAATTTCTTTCAGTTTTAGTTGACACAAAGCTTCAACTGCCTTTAATTTAACAGCGTTAACCTATTCTTACTATTTCTGCCTTCTTTTTGCTTTATTGAAATCAAGATATTGTTAAATTGTCAGTCAAGCGAAAAAAATGTATAAAAGTGTGAATTCAATTGTCGGAGTTTTTCTCCTTTGGAAGCAATTTTTTCGTCATTGTCAGATAGCGAAAATTGAAAAAAGAAAGAAAAGAAAAACTAAAAATATCCATTAACAAGCAGTGGAGAACTGATGGTAAGTTTGAGAAAACATTAAACTTTGTTGGATAAATAAAATTAAAGCGCTTCAAGATTTTCAAAAGTTTTCACTTGTTGTTAGTTGTCAGTTATTCAAAGTTTAAATTGTTTACGTCTATGATAATAAAAATCTTACGTAAATTGGAATCTGATATTTAATGGTAATCATTTGTTTTTGTAACGAGCAAAACAATGAAATATCTGGTTTTTAGGTTTGTAAATGTTATTGAAAGAATTTTATCCATATTGAAATTAAATTCAATGAACCTCATTGCAAAAAAATAAGCAAAATGAATGAAGCTGTAAAAAATAATTTTCAAAGCTCAGCTCGTTTTGAATAACAGTCGTACGCAAACTGAAAACCATTGAACTAAATGAAAATGAGCTCGATGAAATAAGAAAATTCTTTTGATTATTCATACACATCAGATTTCCACCTGATCCTGAATTTTCATCTCTAAAAACTTTAATAGCTTGATTTGAATTGAAATTTATTCATCATATTATGGTGAACGTAGCTTCCGTTATTCAGAAAACGTTCCATAGCAATTAGCATATTGATTTCACAAATAAAAAATGTTTGTACGTTGTGTACTGTGGAAATTGCATGAATAAAATCTTTCTTCAGATACTTTCAAAAAGTTTTAAGTTGAGATTATGAAGACATTCGGAAATCTTTCTTAATTCAATCTTCGTTGCAGATAATTTTCTCCACACTTATTTGTTCTGCTTCAAAGCACTCATCTTATTTACTCAACAGAAAACACTTCAAAGATTCAAATGAAAGCTTTACTCGTAAGCTGCTCTTGTGTGTTATGAAGATACTGAAATACTTTATAAAATTACTCGACTTACTTGACCTCCAAATGAACATTATTTTTAGAAATGCAGATTTCCATTTCATTTCCAATTTCCAGAGATAATGGAAAATATTTAAATTGAACATTACGAACATTACATTAAAAATTAGAAAAGGTATCGAGAGTACTTAAATTTTCATAAGATCTTTTTGATAAAGAACTTAAAAGCTTTCTTTGGAAAGATATCTTAATGAATATCTACTTAAAGCAGAAAAGCCCTCAAAATATTATCTGCTGAAAAAGTTAAGATGAAATAATAAACTATTTATGAATCAACATTCATTACATAATTTCTGATCCTATTAAATTATTATTCAAGATTTCATATCTAAGAATCAGGTTAAGTCGCATGGAAATATTTTATTTTTCATAAATCAACATCAAAAACAATCTTAATTCTCGCGGTATTATTCAGCAGGTGTTTGAAGGCATTAAATGTAGTTGTTACTTGGAAACTTAATGTTTCATTTTATTATTCTATAAGCGTTTATGTGAAACTAAAAATTCGCTTTAAAACTAAACTCATTCGCTTAACTCGGGTATTTATCTAAGCTTAAAGAACATTTAAATATTAGAGGCATAAGTGGGTGGAAACAAATTTGCGTAGTAGCGTTAAGCGTCATTGAACAAAATTAATTCGGTAGAAGACTTTTATTCTGTTTTCTAAGGAATAAACATCTTATTGACGACTCCTCTAAGCTTCTTATTATTAAAAAGATTTTAAACACTGAATTTTTCATCATAAACGGAACATGAAAAATCTATTTTTAATTATTGAATTTTCTATAGCATTCTTATCATATTTTGTCAAAACTAATGGCAACATAAATCAATATTATCTAATATTTATGAGCGTTAAAAGAATTCTTATTCACTCCATGGTTGTTAGAAAACTACTTTATCCACACGTTATTACCTTAAACGACTTGTATTAACCTTTTCTTATGGCTTTGTATTTTGACACACAAAATACCCAAATTTCACGTTTCTCAAAGCTGTTGATTCTTTTTTCTTCAGGCCATTTGCATGAGAATGTTTCTTTCTTGCTTTCTTCTTCTTTTTTTTTTCGGCTGCCTAAATAAAGATTGATGCGATGACTCTTGTTGATACATCCCAAAGAAAGAAAATGTTGCATTAAAATAATAAAAAAAAGTAAGGAAACAAAAAGATTTTTGTTTTGGGCAGGCATTTCTTTTTTGTTTATTTGACAAACCACAAAAACTATCCATATTGTCGGCGACGAGATTAGAAAACTTAAAATTAAAATGATTTTTTATGCAAATTTGATAGCTATTTTATGGGTTTTATCATATGAAACACTAGAAAATTGAAAACGGAATGTGAATGACCACCGAGGACGGATGAATGTTTGCTTGTAACTCTTTACTGAAATGGGTGTGTGCGCTCTAGGTCATTAGCGTTATCACGTTGAGCTAAATTTAATCAAAAAAAAATCTAGTTAATCAAAAATTAATTAATTTCACCTAGTTTGTGACACATGAAGTGACATAAGATTGTCAAGCTGAAAAGAATTTCAAACATTTCAAATTAGATCACATGTAAATATACGGGAAGTTTTAACTCAATGTTTTTTTGGTATATTTTGCATCACAAAGTAGGTAAACGAAAACAATTCCGACTTTTATGTTTTGAAATTGCAAAGAAATCAACAAGCATCATGTAAACAATATTATCACATCTATGTGAATCTCGTGTTTCATTCTACTTACATGTCATGTATAATGTAAATATCAAAAAAAGAGTTTTTTCATCTTATCGTACTTTATTCCTTAGTCATTCATGCATTTAAAGCATTAATGTTAGCGATGTCAATTACCATCTGGAATCAACTTTGGTGTAGAATCTGGGAAAATTTATTCAATGACGAATGCAGACAAAAAAATTTCCATTTCAAGGAATGTTTGTTTTCAACGGTAGATACGCGACACTTCAAAGCAAGATATGAGTTTCATCCAACTAATTAAAAAAAGTACATGAATCAATGTGGTACGGATAAAAGTGTAGATGCTGCTTTTTTTCTCATTTCTGTAGAACTGTCTGTTAAAGAGATTCAGGCAGATATAAAGTAGTCATAATCTCAAGTATTTCTGCTTCTATTACTTACGCAATCTCTCCTTAGCTTTGTTTAAGTCGTAGTCGTCTACGTCAGATTTGGATTTCAATTTCGAGAGAGGAAAGGAAGAATCTTGATTACGAAGACATTCTTCTTTCAGTCGAAACCTCAAAAACCAGAAAATCTTAATTGACATTTTTAATTCCCAGTTGGTTCCATTATGTCACGCTTGAGATGAATGAGAAAATTTATGCGGAGAGAAAATGGAAGCGAACTGATTTTTAAAAAGAAAAGTCGAAAGAATAATCGTTTTGAATGAAAGATTATAAAAGATTGCTTCATGTAAATTAATAGTTTTCTGCCTGGTTTTCTGCATATCAATTTATCCGCCCTTTAAAAATAAAGAAGAAATTTTCGTCTTATCTCTCAAACTTTATGCTTAAGTTATAAAATGAGACCATGCAGACATGATTTTGCAAGAGTAAAATATACACAAAATTTATTTTTATTCAATTCACTTGCTTCATGTCTGAGGAGATTATGGTTGTTACAAATTTTCGTTGTGAGTTATTGCAGTTGTAGGGAAAAGATTGGAATGAATAGGACGAGGGTGGAATGAATACTAAAGAAACATCTTTTTAGCATTCCATCTACAATGCGAAAAGTTTTGAAAAGCAAAGGAGAGATGTTGACAATAACACAGCGTACAAGCATTGTGACTGAGGCGAACATTACCAGGAAACCATTTGACTAATGATTCCGTTTAACCTCAGAAATTAATTTTATCTCGCGATATTACTTTTAAATACTTTTACGCTTTTGTCTAACTGCTAGGTAGAAGCTTTCATATTATTCATTTTTGACGCTGTGACAAGATAAATTGTTTATCCGACAGTTAAAAAGCAGTTTGATGGAAACGACTATGGAATGGATTAAATTAAAGAGCAGAATGTGGTTTTACGTACCGTTAGTTTTATATTCTGTCCTCAGAAGAAGTATTGTAAGATTTCAGAACATTGAGTACGAACAACAAAAGAAGGAGAGCCTAATTTCTGTGAAAGAATAAGCAAGCGATTGAAATAAAACTGTTTGCAAGGGAACAACACAAGAAGCAAGTTGAAAAACATGAGAGGCAACTTTTTTTTCTCTCTCTTCTCTCTCATGAACCGATTCGTGAGTCCTCTCCGAATCGGTTTAACATGAAAATAAATTTTATTTTTGTTCAAGAGAAACAACGAAAACAGTCTTGTTACTTTCTTAAACGACGGTATACGGTCATGAATTATTTGCCTAAATTGGTTATAATTACGGAAAACAGATAATTAATTTAATAGCAGCAAATTGTGTGTTACTAAAACTATAACAAAACCGAAAGAATTAATTCAGAAAATATTTTAGTGAAAGTGGAATGATTTTGCAAGAAAGCTTTGTGAAATAAATATTGAAAAATAATAAGTTAAACAATTTTAAAAAATAACAAAAGAATACGAAAAGAAAATACCCACCTTACAAGATAATTGAATTAGTGTAAGGTTGTGTCAGATTGTTTTATGCCTTGTTAAATAAATCTTCTCAAAGGTTTAGAAAACTTAAGGAAGAGGAAACTTTTCGGATACTTTCTATTCATTGCTCTGGATCATCCGGTAAGATGAAAAACTTTTAACCTTCATTAACGTTGCTCAATTTAAAAGGAAAACATTAAGGAGCTAAATTTCATCCTTTACAAGAAATGGAAGAAAGAAATGAGTTGAAAACATTTGAAGAAGCAAGTTTCATGGAAGAGAGTTTTGTGTTAGCTGTTTAAAGAATTTTTTTTAACAAAAGATTAACACATACAGTAACAAAGTCCATAAAAGTCTCAAACAAGAATTGCTGATTATGCATGCCTCTTGAACAATTCATGCGCCTTTCTCTGCTTTCCTCTGGTATCCTACAAAACAAATCGTCAGTCTTTAAACTTTATAAATTTCTTCATAAATAAATATTTATTAGAAAAGGGTCTTTATTAGAAAATTATGTTCATTAATTTAATAGAACGACGCAAACACTTTATACTGAAGACATTCACGATAATTGAGTTCGTGTCATTGAAATCTTTTAACTTATTGCTTTTCAAAATAAGTTATGAATTGTCTACATCGTTGCCATATTTTACCAAAACTTTGCTTTGTGTCGAAATTGCTTTGAAACGTTGCAGCTTTCAATGGCACGAATAAGTTTTTTTTTTCTTCACGCCATTGAAATATATTGAACCAATTTGCATTACGGAACTCGAAATTATTAAATATGTTGAGCTTTTGTTAGACTTTAAAACGTTTTACAAAATTGGAATCCATTTAAAGTCGTAGAATGAACCAGAATGAAAAGATTTGACACAAAATTACATATGATGAATATTTTTTGAACAAGCTAATTTGAATATTTGCATCGTATCTACTAAATTACATCCAACAACCGACGACAAGAAATATTAGTATCAAAAGAATGCTTCAGTTTCATGCATCCTTCTTGAATGTAATCTTCTTCCATTCACAAACTCTGAAAACAGTATCGTCTGATATCATGACTGAACTTTTGAGAAAAGTTGTGCAGAGACATGTCTCACTTACATTTTTACTATTCTTCTTTCTAAAATATTATGACGATAAGCACAAGCTTTTGTTGATACCAAAGCAATCATTTTAAATTGTTTCTTCTTGTTTAATTCGCTTTTGAGAGAACTACTTTTGTGGAGGATATGCTTGAAAAATGAGATTAAAAAGTATTCGAATTAATCTTCTTAAATGAGATTAAAAGTATAAAAAGTTGTCCTGGAAACTCTGAAATAATTAGCCAACATTGAGGTATTTTATCCACCCGCCTGAAAAAGCTAATCACGTTCCACTATGTAGCAAACCAAAACCAACTTAAGTGAAGTATCAACTGCAAATTAATAAAGCGAATAAAATGTTCAAAACGCAATTGAATGTCGGAATAATGGCACCAAATAAATTGTCATCAATTAAATTAAACAACATTTTACCCACTCGCGTTTTCAGCTTTCTGCTGCTTCGTTTTTAATTTAACTAATTGAATTTTCTCTCAAGCTAAATCGACACTAAGCTGCATCATATTTCAGTCTCGACTACGAAGCATCATCTACTCAACTCGGGTCTTTACCGCTTTTAGCAGAAAAGAATGAATTGGATTGGAGAGGAGAAGAAGAAGAAGAGATTGAGGTACTTAAAGCACCCGCGGTTATTTATATTTCATTTCCTCAACGACAGCGACAGCGAAAGTAAAAGGATTAAATTTGCGCATTATATTTTTATTGTCTTCTGTTGACAGTTGTCATTAGCGATCGTCTTCAGAAATTATTTGACACTTTAATAACATTTAAATGGAGGAAGAAATTTATGCGTCAATATTGACGCGACTCCTTCTTTCCTTCATGATGATTGTCGATAGATGAATTAAATTTGAGAAGTCTCCAAAATGTGTCGTCGTTTTAAGGATCTTTAAGTAGCGTGGTCAATAAATCAACAGGAAAAAAGTAAAAATAAATTTATTTTCTCCTTACGAAGCCCTCCCATAGTCCGCCTCGCCTTTATTTGCTTTATTATGACTTCTCAACTTCACAGACTGCATTGTTTGCTTTTCATATTCCCCCAACAACATCAACGTCCCTTGCTTCTACTTCTCACTCACTCACGTTATCGTTCTCGTTCGTCTCTCATCCATTGAGTTTTAATGTCCACTTCCACCACTTGAAGCCAAGGAAGAAGTGAGGGAAAATGCATCGAATGAGTTTGCACAAATGATTAAGTGGATTTTACCGGCAGGCAACAGCAATTTTCTAAAATTCATGTGTGATGCAAAAAGAATGAACTCGAGAGAAAGAAAACAAAGAAACAAATTGTGAATATTACACCTGCTGAATGCATGTTGGTTGGTGTAACTACATTTATAGCTATGGAGCATTGCAATGCACAGAAAGGGATTAATTAGCCGGCGGTCAGAACATATGAAATCAAGATCGCTCGTTGCTGCCTTCTATAAACGACTATGAAGCGATTTGCGATTTGTGAAATGAACTTTTCCTATTATTTAAGTCGAGTGGAGTGAAGCAAAGCAGAAACGTGCATCAGAATGGTAAATTTTTCACGCTTTGTTTTTAATGGACAATGTCCATAAACGAAACTTCCATGCCGCGACCGAACATCAACTTGAACGAACGATTGCATGATAGCGAAGCATTTTTTATTTACTTTTTCTCTCTCCATGACTATTTCTTGTCGTTTTTCACTGCACCACAAGAATCACTCTCGATGCAAGTCAATAACTGGATTTGAAATGAGAACTTTTTTTCTGATTGAACATTTTTAATTGCATAATAATTTCGTTAAGAGAAAAGAAAGAGTCTCGCCAACATAATGATGATGATNGACATTTTGATTTGAATATTGTTTAAAAATCAAATGCGGAAATTATTCAAATGTCATCGATGGGGCAAACGTCGAGTTAGAGAGTTGAGCATTCTCCAAATCTACTTTCAATTCATTTTATTGATCGTACTGAACAATGCTTCTTCTAAACTATTTAAATTTAATGCAAACTTTTATTTAAAGTGCAACTAGCTTTAGCTTATCTTGACAGCATTGGGAGTTGTACAAAACTTCCATCACTTTTAAGTATGTCAAGTGATTGTAAGTTTAAAAATGAAATAAAATTCCAAATCACTTTCATTGTGGTCTATCAATAAAAATAAAAAAACAATAATAATAAAATAAGAAGAGAAAAATTAATCGCGATCTTCAATCTTAATTTAGAACATTTTCAATAAAGAAGAAAGAAAAAAATTTCAAGTCACTCGAATGGATCGCTATAAAATGGAATCTCATTGAGTGGAAACGCAGATGATCTCATAAATCTCAGTGGTTTTTTTTCTTCTTTTTTGGTGAATGGGAACGGAGAATGGGAATTGAAAGTAAAGATGAATCAAGTTTCACTTTATCGCTGAGATTTAGTTACTTTTGTTATGTCGAAAAGGAAGAAGATCCATTAATTTCCTTCCATTCTGGAATGCATGCAAGCATCACGAAAGAATTACCTGAGATCAGTCCCTTTGATTGGGGATGTTTAAATGGTTAAGTAAGTGAATAAACGCTTTACCAGACAGACGCCTGATAGCATGACGCATCCTCGGACATGATTGAGAAAGTTAAAAAATTCTTTTCTCAAAGTTAATTTATTTGAGCGACTCAAGAGTGGTCGATGTTGATCTTCATTGCTTATGCTTTGTTTTGTTTTTATTTTGAGTCAGACTATAAATAGAAAACGTAGCCGCTTTCATCACAGGCACTCATAAATGGAGAAAAATGAAGCAAGGAGAAGTTTCTTTTATATTTTTTCTCTCTTAAACAAAAGTCATCATTACATCACATCGCAACAAGTGACGGGCCTGAGATCGAAGATTGTACATTGGAGATAATAATTTACAATTTTCATGCACATCGAATCTTGCACAAAAAATAAAAGTTAAACTTTAGATTTATGGAAGTGTCACGAACGACTCGTTTCTTCATCTTCTCAGTCTCATCTTTACCCCAGAGAGCAGTATCGGTTTCTTCTAAATCAGATTACTGAAGGACAAATACAAGATAAAGAAGATTATTATTGTCGAAAGGGATGATGACGATTTCTTCTCAAGCAAAGCAAAAAAGTAACTTCAACTCGTCTGCTTTGTGCATTTGTGAACACGAAGGAACTAAAAAACATCGTAAAAAAACGCTGTGGCAGAACAAACAAAAGAAAATTTCTACGAAAAAAGTAAGAAAAGAAAAGAAACTGCCAGAGTCGTAAAAGAAGGCAAAAGCAAAGGGAAAAAATCATAAGAAGACGAGTGAAACAGGTTCTAAGATTCTACGATTCTCATCCATCTTGGAAATCTTCTTTTTCATTTCTTTATCAAATAACATTGCTGTTGTTCATAATGAACAACATGAAAGACTCTCGTCTCCACTGAACAGCGAAAACAAAGACCATGATCATGTTTTAAACGTTGTTCTTAGCACAAATTTAACCTGTTGCTGCTTGAGCAACACAACGCAATTAAGTTTCTTATTCTTAATTTCCCTTTGCCCAAGCCCTTTCGACAATTTAATTTCAATTGTTTGTCATATCAAATTGGTTATGTTTCGTGGCTTTTGCGGGTCCTAATTTGGACATTCTATTAAAAATCCATTCTCGGTGTGCATTCCGCATGGTGCAATAACACGGTATTGGCGCGTGTTCTTATTGGGTGTGCTTGATCACTGACAGTGTGCATTATTGGTAAATTATTCATTAATCTTTCCATATGTTTATTTTTAACCGTTCCTTTAAGAATTAAGAAGAACTCCGCGTTGCATCGAACAACAAATCATTCTATTCAAATTTCTCTTTCTTTCTTTCCTTCTTTTTCTTCCTCTTGCATAATATTCAACTATTAATCTTCGTTGGGATGACAGGGTTGTAAAGCTAAATGTGTGAAAATGAGTTGTAATTCTATTACGATCATAAAAAGCAGGCAATCAGAGCCCTGCATTTAAAATAGGAAGAAACCATAGAACTTCCACTAAGGTAAAATAGAAAAAAAAAAGAGAAAGAAGAAGAATTTGTTTTGTTTCTTTATTCAATATTTTGTTTAGGTTGAAAGAATAAATTCTCGGTTGAATGAAGAGTTCTCTAGAGATATTCGAAATGACATCGTAGTTCATTACTGTGGTAATTGAAATTAGAAGAAAATTCCAATGTGAATACTCGGTGTGGAATGTTGATCAACTCACTATTTAGCTATGAAGGCGCGTAGTTTTCTCTCGTTGTTGTCATAGTATTATGATGACGATGCTTTAATGAAAATCTCATAAAATTCTTTATTATTTATCAATAAATATTGAACGTTCTCTCAAGCCGATGTCTCACATAAACTTCTAAAAGCATTTACAGTGGGAAAAGTTCTTCTTCATTACCGCTTTATTTTTTAGTTCTCATTAAAAGATTTCTTTATTCTAAATCATCTTTCAAACATTTTTTTTATGTCTGTCTAAAAGGGTTTAATGATGCAACATAAAATCATAAAAAATCAATTTTTCTTTCTTCCGAAAAGCATTGAATTATGTTCAGAGAGTTCGGAAAGAAGAAAGAAAGCGAATTGATTGTAAATCATTGAACTTTAGTTTCAGGGTCGATGATGCAATTTGAAGAATCATTTTCTAAGAAAACTTTCTGAGTTCTAAGGCGAAGTTTACTTTTACCAGTTCACTTTCTAATGACTTCAATGTGTGGTCAAGTTTGCTCAATTTCAAGGTAAATTATGATCTGCCACATTTTTCACTTACAGCACAAATTTCTCCTTTACTTACACTCATCGTCAATTTGCATAAGAATTTAATGCTTTCGTGAGCATTCAACTTCCAACGAAATTAGGTTACCAATGCATTTAAGTTGGGTCATTTAAGTTTTTAATCTCTTTTTTTGTTGTTCTTTTGACTGTCGTGTATTCATTATTAATCGAAGTCAAGCAGGGCGCATTGTTGAATGTATGAGTCATAATTAAGAGAAAGACTTACTTCAGCAGCAGAAAGTAGTTTCATTCAAACCAGTTCTTGCTTTCATTTATCAAGAAGGGAAATGTGATTCTGTATTCGCAAACTGTTCTCGTAATAACAACAGAAACGAGTAACAAGCAAAATCATGAGAGAAATGTGATCCGCACACGCCTTTTGACCCGAGCGTGATCCAATTAAGAATTTTCTTGAACTTAACTGCACTCACAGTTACGCGAATTGTCGTGAAACTGAATAAATTTATTCAAAAACAATGAAGGGAGATCGCTTCATCAAGTAACATGAGACGAATGAGAGTGAACCTTTTCTATTTATCTTTTGAATATTAAAGAAATCTCTTAGAAACTACTTTTAATAAACAAACAAACATATGAAAAGTGATTGAACCATGTCATAAGAAAGAATCGAAAGTTTTCCACCTGAACAATTACTTATCGTTTCAATACACAGAACTTTTGTCCTTTTAATTTCCAAGTATTTCATTCAACAAACATTATTAGAAGGGGAGTTGGTTTTAAGAGTGGCTTGTTAGACTTCCTAACTGTCCGTTGTTATGGCAAGAGATGAGCTAATGATTGAAACTAATAAGAATCAAGTTACATCTCAGTTCGTTTATAACGATAAATATCAACAAAAAAAAAGTCATAAACCGAATGATTTTTACGGGAATAAATTCTTCTTCTATCCACTTGCAATCAAGAATCAAATATTAATCTTAATTATAATTAACGAGCTAATATTTTGAAATTTTTTTAGATTTGGTTAGCTTACATTTTAACAGAATAACTCCATTGGACGATGCTGCGCTCTTCATGATGAATTTGTTTTCTTTTAATCGTCTTTTTTATCACGCGAAAACACACAATAATAAAAGTAAACAAGCAATGATTCTTCGGTGCTTAATCGAACTTAAATTACTCAATTAACACACATCAATAATCACAATGTCATAAATTGTATGACGATGCACATAAAGGTTGTTCATATTAATTAATTAACAGCATTAAGTTATTTTATCAGTTGCTTAGCTGCGAATCGATGTCTTGTTGCTTTTTAATATTCAATTACATTTGTTGAAGAAATCTTAAATAAACATCAAGTGAAACTGTTTAAAATGTCGATAAACCGAGAAAAATTCTTCACAAATTTCTGTTTTAATTTTGAACGCCGACCTATTTATAGATCGTTTTGATTTTATAAATGTTTTATTCTTGCGAAAAATCTATCATCGATAGAAACTTGAACTAGATTTAAATTCCCGCATGTTGATCATTCACACGCCTCTCTTGTCACAAAACTTCTTTTAACATTACGGGAGAGTAAAATAAGAGCGACAAAGTGCCTAATGAATAGTCAAGGCTTTTTTCGATTCCAATCTAAGCGATCTTTCACCATACGATTCCATTTGATTACAGTATTTTCTTCTCACTGCTGTTTGAACTTTCACAATAATTTATCAACGACAAAGCGTTTTTTTTATATTTTTCTTATTCAATTTATGCGTCAAGGTGAAGGGCCACACTTTAAATGGACACGCCATCAATCATGAGGTATGTTTTCTTTATGTTAATTCACTTCCAGATCGTGATGAGTGCAATTTAAATTTTTTAATAAAACTAACAAATGAAAGAAGTAAAGTGTAGAATCGTTTCACCGGAATCTCACAATTTTCATTGTCACTGTCAAAACACAAACACGATTAAATACAATTTAAGTAAAATTTCTTATCGTTAAATCCCTCGATTATTTCTTTCAGATTTTAATCCGCGAAATGAGTCTAAAAGAAATGTTTAATCATTTTTTTAATAAAATCTTCTGACGCTGTTTATCGTACAACGTTGCTGAACTGACTGAAAAAAGTTTTTCTCTTGAAAACACTCGTGCAGGGGAAAACATTGTTGACAATGTTTTTAATGTTTCACGAATGTTATTCTCCATTACTCCAGCATAATCCCATATCATCAAGTATAGTCTGATATTACAATGCTTCAAAATAGGTGGCGCTTTGTTTTTATGAAACCTACTACCGCCACCTTGTAGAAAGAATTAAACTTTCAGAAAAGCTTTAAATGTCGTCAAAGTTTCTTATTCGTTAAAATTATTTCTCACGTTTAATCTTGATATAATAAATCCACCGACCTACACAAATTTAATTACATTATTTAATTTGCAATCCATTCGAATTGTAGAGCGGAAAAATGATTAATGACCAAACGTATCCCTACGGATGGTTCGTAATCGAATTAAAGGTTGTCGACCACACAGAATTTATTCTGTATTGCATCGTAGCGGAAAACTGTGAAAAACTTCATTTTTTTTTGCTCCAAATCGTTTAACATTGATAACGTGGAAAGCGGGTGGATTTTTTTTCTCTGAATATAAATTAATGTCTTTTTCACAGCATTGAGCACTTCAACTTTAAACCCGTCGAGAGAAAAAAAAATTATGTATCGCCTAAATGACGCCCCTTTTTCAATTTGTTAACAAGTTCTTGTACTGAAGTATATTCATGTGAAATTGTAAGATTGAAAGAGAAAACCGTCAGTGCAGCTGTACATAGGTTTCACCATTGGGAAAGTTTCACCATTCCGCCACATTATTCTTTAATAGTTACAAATCACTTTAAAACATTATTGACGAACACGAGAGGCTCTTCAATTGCTTAATGCCTCGTTTATGCATTAATTTATCATGATTACGTTCTAATTGTATAGCGGCAACTAGCATACGAAAAAAAAAAACAGAAAATGAAACAAAAATGCAACTCACGAATAATGCAAATAATTTCTTTTGCATTTTTTTCTCCTGTAAGCTCCGGCAACATCTTGCATTATTCACGGCTTAATGGCATCATGTATAAATGCCTTGCTATGTACGGATAGCAATCTAGAATCTGGAGCATTAGCGAAATAATAAAAAACTGCGCTAGCGAAACGAAGGATAATTTTTTTTCTCTTTTTTTCTGTTGCTTTCTACCTTAATAAACTACAATTATTAATAAATTTCTGCAATCGCTAGACTTTGCTGTTAACGATCTTTATGACCATTTTCTTCTGTTCACGATGAGGATTTTCTTTTGCAATCTTTTCCTCTCTTTTTCACTTCTATATATAGAAATTGTTTATGGAAAAAATATATAAGAATAAAAAAAGGTCTCATTGTGTTGTGTTCCTTGCTTTGTTTCATTAAATAAAATACTCAAAGTGACTAAGAAAATAAGAAATTTTTTGCGGAAAGAAGAAAAATCGAATTTATGACTTCTAAGACCGAACCATCCCCCATTGTCTAATGGTCCGAACAACGAAAAAGAAGAGAAAATAAACACAAAAGGTCGTGATATTCCATAACTCGAGTCTCAAGCTCTTCTTTCTATGGCTATAAACGTGATCATAAAAATGACGATGACTTTATTACAATTATAATTTTTAAGCGTCGTGTTTTGTTATGTTTTCAATGAGGGGGAGAATGGTAGGTGAATGCATCAATAACGTCACGTATCACTAAACATAAAAAAGAAGAAAATATTCAAGTCATTGTGCTTACTTCATGAATGTGAATGTTGCCTCGTTTAATTGATTTAACTCGTTTCGGTAAATTAAGCAATGTTAATTGATGCAATTACAACAAAGATTGCGTATGGAAATGTTTATATTCTTCTAACCCCTTCGTTAGCATGTAACCGACAACTCTCGCTGCCAGCAGAATTAAAAAAATGTGTCAAAAAATATGAAAATTAATCACCATTCTATAGAATGGGGAAAAACCCTTTTCATAAGACCATTGAACCATCATACATGAATCCATCTACGATATAATCCCAACCACCGCTTGTGTGTGAGTTGAATACAATTTCAATAAAGAGACTGAAAGGACTGAAGCAGCACACGATGGGCAATAATTTTTAGTGTTCACCATCCTCAGCTCGCTTACTTTTTTACTTTTTGTGCTTTCTCTCATTCGCTTGTGCTCATTGTTCTTCGAGATTAGATGACATTGTACGTTGAGAGTTATGGTTATGGGGATTTAGATTGTCTGGAATGTGATTATGTCGTTGGATGCTTCGAGTGCGCTGCTGGTCGCATTCCTAGTCATGGGAAAGGATGGGATGACAAGCAAACAATTTGCAGTTGGTTGAAAGTTTTAATTAAAAATTTGGGGTTTACTTTAAACCGTTTCGATAAGGGCAGAGAAGAACAAATGAAAATTTGTTGACATTTCACGTTTTTGCAATCTAATTTGAAATCATAATAGTTTTTTGATGCTTCATAACAAGATTTTCTTATTTTTAAAGTGACTTTAGTCGTGCAATTTTTATTATTTTTATGTATTTGGCTCGATTATAAGTTTTTCTTTTTATGTATGTACATTTACAACTTTTTAAAACTACTTACCAAGTCCAACTTTATTCACGCTCGATGTGCTTGAAAACCCCGGCAGTTTACTTTTCCATCCTTTTCCTTTCCAAAATGCAAACTTTCCAACAACCCGTTCCGCATTTTGTTGTGTTGACATGAGATTAGCTTTCAGCTTCGGCTTCTTGCCACTATCGAATAACGACGAGGATGACCGACTGGACAGCGAAATCATTCCGATTTCATCAGTGGCTGAGGTATTAGAGCCAGCGTAAAATGATGATCCGCTGTCAGTGTTTTGATGATTGATGGACAGTTCAGTGATGGGCGCTTTCTTAGTTAAGCAATTTGCGTTTGTGGCGCCTGCAGACGTTGATTTTTGGTAGCGCAGACTGCCAATGTAACTACTGTTGGACCCGCTGAAGCCGCTATCGAGATCCACATTATTATTGTAGTTACCAGCACCATTTGAGCCATCGGTCACCTCGCCGTTCCCTAAAAAATCCATCGGATCTGTTTGGTGATCGCTTATAGGCGATGTGGGAATGAAGGCAGTAGGCGGGGGCGGCATAAGCATTTCTTCAACAGAAAGATTCAATTCGCCAAGCACACGTTGATGACGATTATGAACACGACGAAATTCTTCTTCAACCAGACTTTGATTAAGCGATACAATCGATTCGCCTGAACGAAGCATTTTCTTCTTCTCAGCATCGTGAATTTCTTCATAAACATTCTCTTGACTACGTTGACCCATTTGCATTGATGATGAAGAAGTTTCTGAAGGCAATGAATACTTTCCGCTTGTTCTTTGTATGCTGTTCTTTCGAGCAGTTGACAAAAGGGCTCGAATAGAGTTTGGCGGAGGTGGCCGTGACGGTCCCGCTTCTTCATAAAATCCCGCTGGAATATTTTGATGTCGCATTGGTGCACCTGGCTCATAATAAGCGTAAGCGTAGTCTGAATGATGAATTTCATTTGGGTAATCGCTGTGTGACGGCTTGTGGTTGTTGTGCGACAACGTAACATGACCCCGATGGTTGGGCGAGTGATGATGTTTTACCGTTGGCTCGTATTTCTCCATCGTAGCCGCAATGTTTCTTCGGTTCCACTTGATCTTTGAATACATTAACAAATTGATGAGGTTGGGATGGTTGAAGCATAAGAAGACCAAGACGGAAAAGAAAAAGAAAAAAGAAATGTGGATGAGAACGAAGCAAAGGTAAATTGAAAAGCATCATTGAGCGAGTGGAGTAGCCCGCAGGCACATACTCAATAAATTACGGGTTCTTTTCCTCTTCTCATACTAACTCTCTTTCTATCTCTCTCATTCAACGTTCGATGGGACATCAAATGACTGTGTGTTCAGTTTGCTTTTTATGTTCGTCTCTCACAAGCAACCAACAGAGCTTTTTTTTATTTTATTTTTTTATTCTTCTTTATGGAAATTGGATGTTAATACCTGACAAATTTGTTTTACCGTATTTTATGCTGAATCGATTCAATAAATAACAATTTGGCGGCGGCTCGTGGTACCAAGTCTTCTAAGTGAAATTTAGGAGGTAAACTGAATTCATTGAGTGAAGAAAACAAAACAAAAAAACGTTTGTCGATAGCTTAAAAACACTTAAAATGATTCATTGGAATAAGATGAAAATTTTTAAGGAACACACGACACGAGTAAATATTTGGAAGTGGGCCATTTGTTGATTGAAAGATTAATGCGAAGAAAAAAAAGGTCAAAAGGTGTCTTCTTAAGTAGAAATTTAATCAAGTAATGAATAGTTGGAGAGCAAATGACAAAAGCATTGAATTTATTACTTATGCAAGGCTTAAGATAGAAGTTGAATGAATAAAAGATTATTCACGTATTGAATGTCGATTAGCTGAAATTAAAGCGGATAATTGACGTGATGAATCTCAGTTTCAAGCCTTCAATAAAGGCATAAAATATTCCCGAGACTTTTATATCTAGAAAGAACATTTTATTGGAAAATGTATTAAGTATTATTATTCAATATTCATCACTACGATTCATTGCGTGTAATAAAAGTCGAACGTTTGGAGAGTGAAAATGAGAAAAGGAAAAGAAAACAAATTTCGGTCATCACTCACCGACGACTCAACGACGCCCACATGATTGTTGTGCTGATTTTCGTAGTCGATACAAACTTCAATGCTATTGGGATCCGATTGATGAAATTTCTTTACATTCGAATGTCCATGTCGATGATGTGTCGGACTTTGTTGATCGTACATGCAAGCATTTTGACGGTGATGGTGAGTCGCCGAAGGATATTCGACTTGGGGTGTGAAGTGTGACGATGGTGGTGTTGTAACGGATGTGAAATATTGACATCGCGACTGCTGATAATTGTCGTGGGGACTGTCAAGAAAATATTTTTGGTTTTGCTGTTGCGCATGCAATTGCAGCTGTTTTTTTGACAGTCGCTGTTGATTTATGAACTGCGATGATTCCATGTTAACATGGCTGCCGCTTTCATAGATTGCTTGTCTTGCGGCGTTCTTAAGTTTTTCAAAATTGTGTAGGTGACTCGTAACGTAGGCGTCTATTTATGCTAATTGAATTTCCCGTCTGTAAATAAATCACAAACAAAAAAATCTGTATTAAGAATAATAAAGTTAGAAATTTGCATAATTATGACGAAACGAAGGTTCATGTTTCACTTGATGCCAAATAAGAAAAAAAAACGACGAAAGAAAGAACGAAAAAAATAGAACTTGAATGGAAGAAACTGTTGCTTCATTCGCACCAAAAAAAAACAAAAAAAGATTCGAGAAATTCCTTGGGGCGTCTAAAATATTCGCTCGTTTTACGTTTGAATACATTGCTTCGAAGCAAGTCGAGATTTTGAAGTTTTTAAGCTTGAAAAGCGGACGACTACATCATGGTGAGAGTTTGAAATTTTTGCGCCGACAGTCATGGGATTTGAATGAATGATATGAAGAGAACGAGTTAGCAGAAGAAGGTTGATGTTGTTCTTTTAAACGAAATATGAGAAAGATGCTTTTGAGTGCCTTCCCAAAATATATAAAAAAGAGCAAAAAAATATCTCTAAGGGTGATTCATGAAACAATTGAATTGGAGAAAATCAGCGAAAGGGAAGAAAAGGCAAAGCCAACACATTAGATTTGGGTCGCTTGGGTCAATTTATTAGTTAATTTGTGAAATTCACAAATGTGATCGTTTTTGGGCTACCCTTTAGGGCAAGACATTTATAAATATTATGTCGGTCCTATCAGAAACATAATTAATCGTATCAATTTCACTTCCATCTATGAATATTATGCTAATAATAATGTTGATGCTATTAATCAGTCTTAACAAAACATAATTTATCTTATTTTGTATCATTTGATGATAGCACGAAAGCGGAAGCATATTCTACTGATGATTTTCCATAATTAAATTAATCAAAATATTTCGCTCTGCCGTACTCGACATCACAATAATAATAAGTATTGAATTTTACTTAAAAGTTACCATGATTTGCAAACTTTTCTTGCCGGAAGCCGATATTGACTTGAGCGAAAATATTCAATCATTCAGGATTGCGAATTCACGAGAATTTTCCTGTTTTGTGCCTCGAAGTTGTTGAAGGAATAAGAGAAAAGTTCTCGAGTACTTACGAATAACATTCCTAAAAATGTTTCATTTGATTCAAGAGCAAACGTGTGCACATGAATATTTGTGAGATGTTATCCAAAAAAAAAGAAAGAAAAAAGGGAGACGGAAAGCGAGAAGAATGATTCGACTCATTGAATTTAATGGCATTTCTGGTTTATTTTTCTTTTCAACCCCACGAAATAATATTTCATAAAAGCATTCATTCATTCATTTCGAAGATGATGGCAAACATCAGTCGATGAAAAGAAGTTAAGATGATGCTTATGATGACGAGATGTTGAGAAGACAAGCTTCGTCGCTCAACGAATATCGATGAAGTTATTTTAAGAAAGTCAGTCAATCCTAAAACAACAAAACTTCAAAATTGACTTCGAAAAGTCATATAAAGCCGTAAATTAAGAGCGCGTCTAATAAAAGTCAAAGTTAATTGTTTGATTGTCGCACTGCTGTGTGTCGCAGTCGAAACATCTCGCCGTAAATTTTCGATGACTTCTTTACACATCACCACAGTCACCTCAGGTCACAGGAAGTTCGAGAGTTATGTTGTGTCTGTAAAGTCGCTTAACTTTAATAAAAATTTATGGCACTTTGATTGTTTCAATTGAAGCATTTACTTACTTAACATTTGTTTTCAAATGTCTCACCGCAAACGTAAATTCTTCGTTCCTGAATATGATATTTGAAGTTTCACATTCACAACTCGATTTATTCTCAGAGCGATAAAAAGTGCTTGATTGCAGATGCTCAAATGTTTTTTAGATCACTTGAGATTTCAAATAACTAAGAAGAATAAAAGAGAAACATAAAGCAGAAGACGAGAAAGAAAATCGGCTCAAATTTCATATTGTTCGCAGACCTCATAAACATCTTGTGTACAACTAGTCAGCTAACCAGCGAGCCAGTCATTCATTCAAAAAGAAATATAAAACCGAGAAATCATAGCGTTCCACTCCGTGAATAGGAAATTATTCTTATGCAATCCAATTATAGAAAGAAAATTGGAAACGTGATTTCTATGGGGCGTATCAATATGTTTTGTATGAAGTCATAAACATTTATGTTATTGATACTCACGAAGCGTTAAAATTCTTTCTTCTGTCTTTCCAACCAATTTAAATTGGCCATCACTGATGAAAAAACCAAAAGAGATTGAGCAAAAAAACTCGTTGATTGATATTAAAATATTCATTTAAACGCTCAGTCATCAGAATTCATTGAGATCAAATTTTATGNATAGAAAATGACGACGACGGCGGCAATGGAAAGCGAAACAAGAAGCGAGGGATAAAAAGTGTTTATACTTGTATAAAGAATTATGTGAGACACAAGACGAAGAGACGAGAAAGAAATAAAATGCTTTTTAAACAGATTGCGAGAACTCGTTTTGTGATGAACTTCTTGCGTTCTCCACGAACTTATGTTGAACACAACACAAGACAACACAAACACACACACAACTGCACAATCTGACACGTTGTTGAACCAGAAAGAAGCATGTGAAGTAAAAATTGATTTAAATTATGGGTTATAAACCAAAAAGGTTCTGTTAGTCGATGTAAGAAGTCTCAAAACATTTTCGTGATGTCGATTAAACCTTAAATACACATCTTAGACTCTTTCTGACCATAGGTCTTGATGCAAACAGATTTTCTTCTTCTTCTTCTTGTTCCTTGACTAGTGCCTAAAGCGGAAATAATCAATTTAACCATGCGGCTTTTGTGATGACTCAAATAAACACTTTGATGAGCCAACCATCCACCTCACGATTTGATTTCATTAACGATAGCTAAGTTAACAGCTACAAGAATGGTCAGGTTGAAAAATGTTCTTTTAAATGTCGTTTCAATTAATTTATAGAATCATATCTATCTCCGTTAATGTGTGCCTACCACTGACACTTTAAAGAGGTTGACAAGATATTTCTAAGATCACTGTGTGTGGATCATTTACAATAAATAAACTGCTGACTTCCGTTAGGCTTCTTGTTCCGAATCATTTGTTAAATACTTCAACGATTCTCAAGCATAGAAAGTTTCTAATTTCCGGTTACAATTTTGATAATTTCTGAACATGCAACCATCAACAAACAAACATCAACACATGTTCACTCTTTGCTTAGCTTACGACTCGTGAAGGACGTGAATTGCATCTGTAAATTGCTGTGTTGCCAAAATAACTTTTTTCATCTTCCATCCCTCGGGTCTCGATTTTCTCAGAAGTTATAATTAGAAGTTTTGTAGGTTCTTTAATTAACATCTTGTTAATATATTCAGTGAGTTATTTCTTTAAAAGGAGCTTGTGCAAGATGTTTGTTGTCTACCACCCAAGAAGTAAAACACTTAGCGCGATGTCACGTGTCCTTATGCTTCTTCCCAAGATACATAAATATAAAAAATTGAAAGAATATCGAAAAGCTTCAATAAAAAAACATTTGAAATGCTACATAAAATAATTTTCCAACATTAACCTAGTTTCATGTTACGTTGTTGTTACTGACATGTCATTCAGCGAGAATGTTAAAAGTGTGAAATCAATTTCTGTTCACAAGCGAGAAACATTCATTCCACAATTCTCGCCGTTCTTTCATAAATAAATTTGGAGCATAGAAAAAGAAGAAGAGAAAAAAAATCTAATGGAATTTAAAATTGAGTGAAATTCAAGCTTTGCTATTTATCTTTCATCTAGTTAGAGTAAGATTCACATTTAGTTTGCTGATTTCATGGAATATTTCGTAGAGAAGCGAAAGAAACAGCTTTCTACGAAGACACATAATTTTATCTCCATTGAATCATCAAATAATATGTCATTTGAAAACAGCAACTTGCTTGTAAAAGTTCCTTGCTTATACACAGTTGGTAAATGAAAGATGAGCAAGTTATTTGTACTTCATTTAAATTTTTGAAAAGAAAACTATTCGAGATAGAAAAGTCATTAAAAAAATATCGCTTTGAGCAATCAAACATGAAAGAGTTGAAAACTTTTTCCATTAACTACGTCGTTCTGAAGCTTTGGAAATGAACATTCAATTGCTTAGATTGCAGGAAGATGGAGTAATCAAAATATATTCACAAACAATTCGTATTCATGTTCATTTTATCTGCTTGTTCTTAACTTTAAGAAAAGATTCCAACAACCAGTTTGGAAGATGATGAAGTTCGAGAAAAATTACTTTCGATACAAAAATTTATGCAAATTCGATAGTTTTACGGCTTGTATTTCTATTCCAAACATTGAAAATTGAAAAAAAGCTTAAGAAATGTGAATGTGAATACCACCAATGATGTTTTGCATAATCTCTCATGCATATGTTTCTAAAATCGTTAAGGTGTGCCGCTATCAAAGCGTTTATCGAATCCGATTACAAGCTTTTATGATAACAGTTTTTTCGCCTTTCAAAAAGCTTTTTAAAGCAGTTCTCTCCCAATTCTTTTCTGTTTATTTTTCTTAATTAATTTCTCTTTATATATTCAATGACTTTTGAATGTTGATTTTATGGCTCATTAAAGCAGGTTTTAAGATGAACAGCTGATATGGAAATTTTTATTTTATTCCACCAGCTTCGAAATACTTTGCATGCTTAGCGCATATTGAAGTTATAAAAAAAGAACAAAAATGTGCGAACGAGTTCACAAATAAAGCCAGCATAAGACCTCATTCTGACGAATGGTTCTTCTCATTCTCCTTCATATGCTGAATGGTGATGATGATGGTCGATAAAAGCAGGAAAAAGAAAACTTTCATTTAAAACAGAAAACGACTTTTGAATCTAAAATCAAGGTCCGCAAATGAGTAATGCAAACATTCACAAGCGATTACTTTTTGAAGTGTGGTAGGTTTCTCTTTTTTTTTGATGATTTATATTTCATGAAGCTACGTGACCAGAACATTTACATTTACTCTCTCGTTTTCATTAGCTCTGCTATGCTACCATGCTAACTAAACGTTTCAAGAGGCTTCAATAATTTATTTTTTATTTACTTTTTATGGAAAGAATGCTCGTAAATTTTTTTTTCATTGCTGTTAACTTTGAACTCATGCTTGAATACGTCGACGCAGGAAAAAACTTTTGAGTTGATTTTAGTTGTATAAATTTAATTCACGCAGTGGAAGTTTACGAGCTCAGTTTTGTATCCGACATCCGTGCAACTTCTTTTAATACTATCCAAGGTTAGAATATTTCATGATATCGTTCTTAACTTCATAAAGGAATCAAAGGAAAAATTCCCTGTAAAGAATTTATAATAAACTAAAAATGAAATTAAATTATTCGTGAAACGTTCCGTTCTTTTAAGTAGCGAGGTATCTACTAATTAAATGTTAGTTTTTTTAATAGAAAAACCATTTAATTAAAAACATTCATAGAATTTTTCCAATTAAAATGTTGCCTGGTAGTTGTTCAAACAACATTTTCAGTGGCTACTTCTTTTTCCATGTTGCTACTTTGATAAATATTGTTTGTTGTTGAAAATTTCACACCATTTGATCGAATAATGAATACATTTAACATCAATAATCGAAATTCATGATTGCGCAATAACTTTTAAACACGAAAGAGGTTTCATTTCACTTTAATATTGTGTTTCATGCTGCAGCAATTTTTATGTTTCAATTCACATTCACGACACTGTTACTTCGTTGAACATAAAAATGTTCGATAAATTTACGTTTCGATAAACAAATTTTCATTTTTTATTTTTTTGAGCTAGATATTTTACCTCCGGTAAACGAGAAGCTGTTTTAGCTGAATGCAGATAAGATCTTAAATGTTTTAACTCTGAATCGTTATTTTAATATTAAAGGTTTACGACACTTTGGATTGAAAGTTGATTTTACATGAATATGTTCAATTATCATTCAGCAATGCGAATTCACGAGGACTTTCCATGTGCCTCGAAGTTGTTAAAAGAATAAGAGAAAAGTTCTCGAGTACTTACGAATAACATTCCTAAAAATGTTTCATTTGATTCAAGAGCAAACGTGTGCACATGAATATTTGTGAGATGTTATCCAAAAAAAAAAGAAAGAAAAAAGGGAGACGGAAAGCGAGAAGAATGATTCGACTCATTGAATTTAATGGCATTTCTGGTTTATTTTTCTTTTCAACCCCACGAAATAATATTTCATAAAAGCATTCATTCATTCATTTCGAAGATGATGGCAAACATCAGTCGATGAAAAGAAGTTAAGATGATGCTTATGATGACGAGATGTTGAGAAGACAAGCTTCGTCGCTCAACGAATATCGATGAAGTTATTTTAAGAAAGTCAGTCAATCCTAAAACAACAAAACTTCAAAATTGACTTCGAAAAGTCATATAAAGCCGTAAATTAAGAGCGCGTCTAATAAAAGTCAAAGTTAATTGTTTGATTGTCGCACTGCTGTGTGTCGCAGTCGAAACATCTCGCCGTAAATTTTCGATGACTTCTTTACACATCACCACAGTCACCTCAGGTCACAGGAAGTTCGAGAGTTATGTTGTGTCTGTAAAGTCGCTTAACTTTAATAAAAATTTATGGCAATTTGATTGTTTCAATTGAAGCATTTACTTACTTAACATTTGTTTTCAAATGTCTCACCGCAAACGAAAATTCTTCGTTCCTGAATATGATATTTGAAGTTTCACATTCACAACTCGATTTATTCTCAGAGCGATAAAAAGTGCTTGATTGCAGATGCTCAAATGTTTTTTAGATCACTTGAGATTTCAAATAACTAAGAAACTCGAAACATTAAGCAGAACCAACAAGAAAATCGCTTCAAATTTCATGCTATTGTTCGCAGACCTCATAAACAATTTTTGTGTACAACTATCCAGTCAGTAAGAAACATAAAACTTAGTAGATAAATGTTTACATTTAACATAGATAGATAATTTAGAATTTCCGGAGAACTTTTCATGCCTATTTAATAACTGGAAAAGAAAAGAAGAAGATAATTAATAACATCGGCATTGTTTGCTCTCATTCTCATTCCATTGATAATATTGGAATCGATATGATTAATTTGACTTCAGAAACAATCTTTCGAGCACAAAACATGCTCCCCAAGGCATTATAGAGACGATCCTATTTGCAAAATTTTCCAAATTAACTAATAAATTGACCCAACCGACCCAAATCTAATATGTTGGCTTTTCCTCCCTTTCGCCGACTTTCTTCAATTCAATTGCTCCGTGAATCATCCTTGGAGATTTTTTTTTCTTTTTTGGGTTCGTAAGCATCTTTTTCATATTTCGTTTAACACAATAACAAGTTCTTCCATTTACCCACAACTCGTTCATATCAGACCCCAATGAACTGAGTAATAGCAAAATGATGTCGGTGAGAGAAGAAAGAAAAAGAAAAACAAATAACATTGTTAATACATCATCCCAGAATTGTTAACTAAATTCAATCGTTTGGGTTGAATTTGATTTCGTGTTTCAATCATAAATAATCAGATATAAAGCAGAGAAAGTTCAATGGCATCAGATCAAGAGACTGCTTTCAATTTCTGTTTCAGTGAGACAATTATTGCATCTCTTATTAATTATCTAGACTAAGTATCGTGTTTCTGTTATTGTAATTTACGTACTTTTATGTTTTCATCCTTTGTACGAGTTTTTCTTTCAAAGTAAAAACAAAAACGACGATGAAACTCTATAAAGTTCAATCCTTAACATGCTTTCAATATTTACATAGAAAAAGTCAATGAACATAAGTCATGAAATGAAAAATCAAACGTTTTACATTCATTTATGCAGACTTTGCAATGTCAATTACTATCTGGTTNACTGATGATGATGATGATGATGAAGCATTTACTTACTTAACATTTGTTTTTCAAATGTCTCACCGCAAACGTAAATTCTTCGTTCCTGAATATGATATTTGAAGTTTCACATTCACAACTCGATTTATTCTCAGAGCGATAAAAAGTGCTTGATTGCAGATGCTCAAATGTTTTTTAGATCACTTGAGATTTCAAATAACTAAGAAGAATAAAAGAGAAACATAAAGCAGAAGACGAGAAAGAAAATCGGCTCAAATTTCATATTGTTCGCAGACCTCATAAACATCTTGTGTACAACTAGTCAGCTAACCAGCGAGCCAGTCATTCATTCAAAAAGAAATATAAAACCGAGAAATCATAGCGTTCCACTCCGTGAATAGGAAATTATTCTTATGCAATCCAATTATAGAAAGAAAATTGGAAACGTGATTTCTATGGGGCGTATCAATATGTTTTGTATGAACTCATAAACATTTATGTTATTGATACTCACGAAGCGTTAAAATTCTTTCTTCTGTCTTTCCAACCAATTTAAATTGGCCATCACTGATGAAAAAACCAAAAGAGATTGAGCAAAAAAACTCGTTGATTGATATTAAAATATTCATTTAAACGCTCAGTCATCAGAATTCATTGAGATCAAATTTTATGCGAATTTATGAACATTGCCGAATGACAAAAATGTTTAGTGAACCATTAAAATCAATGCTGCAACATATTGTTGATCATGTGGAAATGGATTTCTTTTTTATTCGGTTTACTTTTAATTTATTGAGTAAATATGAAATTTTCATTATCAATAATAAATTGGTGGCGGGCGCGAAGCGTTTTCCTCTCACTCTGACTCTTAAAAAAAGCAACATTTGCAAAATTCACCATTGAAATTACACAACGAAAGCAGAAAGCCAATAAACGATTTAATTAAATTTATTTGCGAACAAATTTCGCTGTTCAAATTTGCTTTCGCTTAAGAACTTAAATTGGTCGCCAGCTCTTTATACAACTTGTGTTATTAATTGATTCATTCCAATTTTATTTCTCAGAGTCATTTACGGGATCAGCCTTTTTTGGGCGCGCTGTGATTTTTTTTCCTTTCCTTTCATTCTATGTCAATAAAATATTGTTGATAAAACATTTGCAAATCCATTAAACTCTGTTGCGTGTGTTTAGTTCATAACTAGCAGCTCACGATTTATTTTTTTCTCCGTTGATGTTGCTACTAATAGGCTAAAAGTTGAAAGTCATAAAACAATTTTACGAGCACTTTTCCATAAAAAAAGTAAATAAATGTAAGAAGCGAGAGCAGATACGAAACCGTGCTGCTGTTGGCTTTTTTAGAAGAACAAGAGGAAAAAGTAAATTTTGGGAGGAATTAACGAAAACGTGAAAACGTCGGAATCTCGTTATTCATGATGATATAAATCATTTAAGTTTTAAGCCTACCGCACTTTAAATTAATCGACAAAGAATCTTTTCTAAAGGTATTTCATTCAAGAGCTTTACGGCTTGTTTGGAGTGTAAATGAACTCATGAACTTGCGCATCGGACGTGGCCCAACGTTTTACGTGTACACGATTCTCGTTGAATCAACTGTTCATCTCGCAACCTGCTTTTATGAACCATAAAAATCAACATCTACGAGTCATTGAATGAATAAAGAGAGAAATTAATTAAATGGAAGAAAAACACGAAAAATCATTTTCTGTATAGTAAAAAGAATGAAAGAAAGAAAAATATTTCCTTTGTTATCATAAAAGCTTGTAATCGGATTTGATAAAAGCTAACGATAGCGGCGCACCTAAGCGCTTTCCAAACGATATGGAAAAATATGCAAAGCGTCATTGACGGCGGAATTAATAAATTCTTGACCATTTTTTTTGTTATTTGTTAAATATACTTCTCGTTTTTTCAATTTTCAATGAAAATGGAATAAAAAAATATAATAAAATTTGCATATAAATAAAAGTTCTCTCTTAAGTCTTTAAGACGTAAAGCTTTATACCCGGAAAGTGTTACAATCGACAAATAAACTGGTTTCAAGTATCGGCATTTAAACTAAACAGTATCAGATATGCAATAACATAACTCGTTGAATGTATCACCAAAACCAATCACATTAATCTTTAAATGGACAACTGAATATTATTCAAATGTAAATGATCCAACTAAAGGAATTACTGATGTTCATGGTAGATTTGTTGAGAGTACGAATGTACGATTAACAAACTCGCATAGTTTATCACCCTTCATTATATTTACATATTATACTTACCCCTTTTGTCAACCATTACAAATAAATATCTCAAGGAGTGAAGACGTACAAATTAAATAAAGAGTTTAATAAAGTTAATTAGTTGAACTCATAAGTGATTACTTTTATTCTCCAACATAATCTCAAAAAGATTGAATGCCAACGACTAGTGTTTTCGTTTAATTTTGTTTTTATTTATCGTTATTCGTTTCATTTCAGATATTTACAACCATAATTTTCACGAT